TGGGAAATGTAAATAGAAAATAAAGACAAATCGGAAAGATCAAAAAAAGAAAGAAAGAAAATTCATGAATCAGTAACAGCAGGCAGGTGAATTTATTACTACTAAGACTGCTGTGATAAATGTATACGTATGAATTCATACGCTCCGCCTACTGAGTACGCGCGGACACTTGAACATTAGTAAAACATTGAAGTTCAGAGTCGGAAAAAAGAAAAACTACAAACGCCGCAATGACGATGCTTATTCAAGTGTATTCACTGCTGTTATATTGATAAGAGACATTTACTAACATACTTTTACACATAGACGTATGTTCACTTTATAGAATACAAAATTCGACTTCCTTTCCTATGCATGGGAACACAATGAAGAGGGGTGTGGATGGAGGGCAGAATTATTTTAAAATTGAAATAAATAGCCGACCGATAACTTTGAACTTATGAACATTCATATACATATACACACACACGACAATGACAATGCATAATTGTTAAGTGTCACCTCCCTCAAGGGATAATTGACTCAAAGGCAATACAATAGTATTTCCTTAATGAATAAAACTATAACTTCAACATAAATAAAGTTTTTGAAAAAAAAAAATATGATGATTGGTGAGAAAAATGAACACATCTTAAGAATATTTTAACAATCGATCTTATGGCACTTCTTTTATTGACAAATTGGGAATTTGACTCCCTTTAGAGTTGTTGTCACCATCGACTTCTTCGTTCTTTTTTTTTTTCATTTGACAGCTATAATCAACCGCCCGAGCAAAGATCAAACATATACCACCACACGTACACACCTATTGTGAAAAAAAAGAAAGAATAAAAACAATCAAAACACACCCTAGACGTGTGGGTAGTGGCTTGAAACGTATGCGCGCATCGATTTTCAAAGACGACAAGCTCAACTGTACACATCAGACAAATACTGCTGTTGTTCTTTTCTTAGACGAAAGGTGATAATTGAAAAGTTGGACATGTACTACCCACCCAGGTACTACTTTAATTAGACATGCGACACTATTGTTCATTTCAATAAATATATCGTCAATGAAATAGCGGCATTTTGATCTTAGTATGAGAACTCAGTTGGTATTGAAAGATAAAAATATCTAAATTGAATTCGACAACAATACTAAAGCCATGTCAAATGAATATTTCAATAAATTTTCCGTGACTCGTGATCATTCTATCTATATGTTCTGTCTATCATAATAATGTAGAGATTGGAATGTACACATGTGTATATGGACATTCGATTATTTACGGATTTTGAATGCACGCAAGCATGATAATAGTGTATGGTCAATTCACACGAAATACGTCAATGACAATGATGATGATGATGATGATGATGATGTTGATGAGTTAAGTATGTCATTTGTTATTTGTTTGGAAAACGGACAACTTGTTTTGGAATGTATTGTCTTAACATCCGGAGTTAACATCTAATTGGATAATGATTGTAAAAATGTGAATAGTTTGTTTCTACTTGATTTATTTAAACGGAATTAAGTAGTTATTTTCTTTCTTTTTTTATTGTTGTTGAATAAAACAGTAACCCTACGGGCTTTTATAAGATCCCTAGTGATCATAAACTGTTTGTTGTATATTATGAAATCTTCATACATCATGTTCACATTCAGTGAACTATGACAATCTCAATATCGATCTTGTATGATCGCACTCGTGCGAGCGTACGCTCAAAAATGCTCTTCAGGCGCCGAATATATACATCAAACGAATGTCATCGTCTTCTGGGAAAGAAATCAATTGCAAATAATCTTTAAGAAAAGAAAAAGGTGTGGACATTCATTCGATAGATGATGTAAACATCTATTGTATTTTTATCTTTCATATATTGATCGTCATCATCATCATAATGTTAGTGTACAGAATTCGTGCGCGCGCTCTCTCTCTCTCTTATAAATAAGGATGAGTATATATGTATATATATGTATATATGAATGTATGTACACACGCACCTACTTCTTTCATGTATGTCGTGCTTTTCATATATATATAAGAATCAGATTCAATTATGTAATAGATCACTACTCGTCTTTTTACATGTTAAGACAAGTCACAAGACGATGACTTCATCAGAGAATAAAAGACAACAAAATATTGACGTATCTTACAACTAGTCGGCTAATATCAAATAATGAAAAATCACGAGTATCATTATGCCATTCAAAAAAAAAAAAAGGAGAAAGAAAAACTATGATGTAGTCATGCTATCAACATCGATAGACGATTGTTCTTATTAAAGACGAACGAACAATAATATACGAAGTACTACTAGTACTCATTATATATACACACACACCTACCCGTCATTCGTAATGTGTACCCATCAATGGATCCATTTGGCTGGCTGACAGTCATCATATTCAACTTTTATAGGTCATCATAATGTTGAATATGGAGAGAGAGAAAAAAACGAATGAAAACTATAAGCATCAATAACTAGGTGTTAGTTGATTGTGCAAGCACACTTTACTTTTCATTATGTATATTTATTTCATTTTTGACTTCAATTATCTCTTCGATTGGGAAGAGAAAAAACAGATGATGATGATGCATTCTTAACACATTTTTCATCATTATCTCAATTTTGCTCACCATGAACTGATATTAAAGCACTTGTTAAGTGATCGAATACGCAAAAGAAGAAAATTATTCGAGATGTTAAAAACTAATGCTATTTTCTTTAGCATTTCTCACGACTATTAGATGATAATCTGTTTGAATAATTTATATATTCAAAAACACACATACACATATACAAAAAAAAACGAGAGAGAGAGAGAGAAAAAACGAAATCATTCATCACTGTGATAAAGGTCTTTTTTTATTATGTCTATTTACATATATGGTTTCCAAAGTTTTGGTGATGATGGACTGAGAGAGTTAGATGAAACACTTGATGATGATGATGATGGTAATGATGATACAGATGAGAATGGTTTATTAGGATTTGTTATTGTTGAATGATTGATAAGAATTTTAAGACAAGATGCTGATGACTGTTGATGATGTTGTGAGTATTGTTCATTTGTTGTTGATGTTGTTGTGGTTGTCGTTCGACGTTGATATGGATGATGAGCATATCGTCGATTTGTCCACATTTGTCGACAACGTGTTGCTAAACAATCACGTTGTTCAGGAACAATATTTGGTAGTGAATGAATTAATTTCCACATTTCTTCTGAACATTGTCTATAACCATTTTCATAATCTTCCATAGAATTATTCATTGTACGTTTTAAATTTCGAATATAATTAACAGTCATTTCAAGTATTTCAGCTTTTTCTAATTTTTGATATCTTGCTCTCTATTAAAAATGAAAAACAAATTCTTCTTTATTTTACAAAAAAAATTAAAGTTGAATTTGATTTTACCTCATCTGTCAAAGCCATAAGATCTTTTAATTCATCAAGACTTTTATTAATACGATCACGTCGTTTTTTTTCTACACATGTCTTAGCAAACTAGAAAAAAAAAGAACATAAAGAAATAGAAGGTGTTAAAAAAAGAAGTCGAATAGAAGTAACTTACTTTTCTTGAAGTTTGTTCTGATGAATCGGAATAGTCACACGTTAACATCATAACTTAGTTCAAAGGAATAAGAAAGTGTTTGGTAAGAGTCAACTACGCGTGTTTGTATGTATATATGTCTATTTCGAAATGTCACCCGTCGCAGCACACGTCTAATAGCAATTTGATGAAGATTTTTTTTTTCGCTTTTCAGTTTCGCTCGTTCGCTCTCGCTCTCGCTCTCTCTTCCTCTCTCTTCAAACGAAAAGAAAAAGAGAGAAGAAAAAAAACGATTGGACACTGTTTGATAGCGTACCTTCGCGAACGAGAAACGCGTGCGAGAGATAGATGTTTATTTTATACCATGAGAAGCCTTTCCTATGTGTGTTTGTATGTGCGCACATACATATATACACACGGCGGCGCGCGAATTCTGCCAAGCAAATGGAGCAATAATGTTACACCATCGAAAAAAGAACGGCAGAGAGCAGAAAAAAAAGAACTCATGTATATAAAAACTATCGATACTTTGTATATATAACTTTTGTCAATTACGTCCAATAGTATCTCTCGTTCTTTCGCCTTTTTTTTTTTTCGATAACTTTTTATTGATTGATACACGCGTCTACGCGCGCACAGCGTGACCACTAAATTATTTCGTTAATTGCTATAGAAAAAAAAATGAAAACGAAGTAAATATATATATACATATACATATGACAACACAAGCCAATGACGATCGATAAGATTCTGTATATCTATTGGTTATTTAAATATACATTAACGTCAATGTACATTTCAATGATAAAGACAAAGTCTTAGAAAAATTTTTTTTTTTTCGTTTTGATCTCGACTTAGTACATGATTGTATTTCGGTTGGGTACACTAAGAATTAGACAGACATCTAACTGGTGTTCTGCAAAGGTTTCATTCCATAGCCACGTGTTTTGAACTTATAGCATCAAAGATTTCTCTTTATTCTTTTTCTCTCTCTGTGTGTGTATTAACAATAGGCTATTTGTTAATGCATTGAATTTGATTGTCAAGGATGGGATTCATACATCGTTTTCTCACCAATGTCCTGCCCATCATATTTTTTCTCTCTCTTTATTTTATCAGCGGCTTGTCCATAATAGAATGCATATAAAGTTTGTTTGATGTGATCCGATATGAAGAAAAGTGCGTACCGTATGGACATTTGTTTTAATTGAGTGAATATGCGCACATTCTTTCCCATGCCTTTATAAAAAGCTAAAACAAGTGAAAAAGTTAAGAGTGTGAAAAATAAGAAGAAAATATTCCAAGATGATTGAAAATAAACAACAACTAGAAAATCACTTATTAGATCATAGTGCATTCAATTCTCATATCTTCAAAAAATTCAGTTTTTATGAATAAGGAATATTGATTGGCTTCACAATTGATGTATAATATTTTGTTTTAAATTTTTCCTTCGATTCTACTTGAAGAAAGATAGACATACAGACACCTTTCTCTTCCTCTCTCGCTCTGACTTTCGATAGTAATAAGTGGGAGTGATGAAACCTTGCAAAAAGACACTTTCAGTTTACTTCATCATCATGTTGCTTGTATACACTTGAATAAAGAAAAAAAAAGCATCATTCATTGAAGTGTTATCTTTTTCTAGTATATACCTTGAGTTATTTTCTCGAACGATATCTCATATTCATTTCTTTTCTCATTATCATTATTTTTATCTACGTTTAAAGGTTTCTTGTTTTTTTTCCTGCATACCTTGTCATTTTCTGTTAATAGTCGTATAACGTTTTTTGCCTATGAATTCGTTGTTTGTTCAATTATAAAAGTTTCGAACAACGAAATTTCTAAGACATCAAGAGAACGTTTTTATATATATTCTCATATACTTATCTAAATTTTTTTTTTTTGCTAAAAGAAAAATACATTTAGATTTCTCCTTTTTCGTTTTAACGGAGTGTCAAAGTAAAACTACTATTCGTCACACTCACACGCATACACACAAGTCATAATTCAATGATTGACTTCGTCAAGTGACATTCGAAATCAAAGATCAATATCGCACGCACGAATGTCTATTAGAGATATGTATATAGAGTATAGTTGTTGTTATTGTCTGGATTGAAATAGTGACACGATGATGAATATGTGTCATGTAATTTAAACCAAGTACAGTTTCGACTTTTTTTTCTTACCCATGAGATTCAATCATTTCCTTAAAATGGTTCATCACATATGAAATATGTAGACATATCAATTAAATAGTCATTTACTATATCAAAATTTTATTTAAAATCTTTCGAATTGTTAATAAGCAGATTAATATGGTTGATATACAATTGTAAAAGAGAGAAAAAACTATTATCAGAATGATTGTAGAAATCAACTGAAGAATAATATTTAATCTATAGTCATTGATCTTACTTGATATATTTAAATGTATACGATAGAGAAAAAAAACAATCAATCAACATTAAAATTTTCAAATAGCTTTCTCACATCAATTAGTAACAAGATTATTCAATGATGATAATAGTACCATCAACGATAAACATAAAAAAGAAAAGTAGAGCAATTTTTTTTTTAAATGCTAAGTATTAATTAATTATTCAACCTGTCTAAAGTTTATTTAGTAATAAACTTGGATTATTTCATTTTAAAAATATTTAGATAGATAAAACAATTATTTACACGTCATTACGAAAGAATGTTATTAAATTACTTTCGTCAGAGAAGAACGAAAGTATGAATCGTGAGGTACATTATTATGATTCATTATACAATCTATATTTATTTGTTGTGAATCAAAAAGTACAACTTGTAGTACTCAATATACGTTCTATATTTCGAAAGAGAAAAAATTGCCTAAGAGACATTGCACGTAAGCCACACCAAATTTTGCTCAATTCAAAATCATAAATTTCTGTCTTATATTTTCGAGTAGTACGCCAAAGATAACGATTAGGAAGAACATTTCGAATCAGGCTGATACCGCTGATTCGAAGAAAATTTATATCAAAGGCAATTATTTTATCACTGTATTGGAATTACGTTACTGTAGTTCCGGAAATTTTAACAATTTCTATAGAAAAATCGTCTATAAGGAGATTTGTATCGCCGTCAGGAAAAATCGAGTAAGGATAAAACGTAGGATATAAGCCTAAAAAAATGTGCTCTACAAGATAGAGTTAACTTCAGATTGATTCGAGTACATTTTTAAAAGATCAGGTGTAGCTTACGTGCAATGTCTTCTAAGTAATTAAAACTTAAGAGAAGAATTTTGAAATACATATTGCTATGTAATAAATCTTCGATTATATATGAAAACTGAAAAACTTTAAGGAAAAAGATTTCTTATATAATTTTTCGTATGATCAAGATGGAAAAACGGATTAATATGATGTCTAAAGTTTAATGTTCAGAAATAATTAGTTTACATCAGAATAACATTTACATGATCTTGTAAATTCCTGGATAGAAATTTGCATGCATAGCTAATAAAAATCAATTCATGGAAGATATATTAGTTTTCCGGTAAAGAGTCTTTAAAAAGTACAGATCTTTTTTTTCTTTTGAAGTGAACGTTGAATTAGTCGAATACATGGCAGAGTTGATGATTGAACTGATGTACTCTATAAAACTACTTTCAGTATTTTGATTATCATATCTTTCATCAAATATAATTAGAGAGCAACAGCAGAATCAGATATCTAATGAAGTACTTTCACAAATGTATTTAATGTTGTCTGTGAGAATGACTGTTTTTTCTTCTATTAATTATTTATATTTTCATTTTTCAAATCAAGTTTTAGATAAAATGAATTAATTTATTTTCATTTAAAATTTTTTGATTGGTTTTTATATTTACCAATAATAAAATTTGTTAGAATCTTGGAGAAGGTATAACGAAAGAAACGCAATACGTAATGGCTTCTTTTCTAATCTCACACTCGCGTGATAAAAGCATAATATAGTATCATAATGACGCCTTTTTTTTCCGACAGTTTTCTTTATTTTCCTAAACGTCGGGACTAATCTTCCTTTTCTTCATAATATTTTTTCATAAAACACTTTATACCAAGTAACAAAAAGGAAATCAAAGGAAAAAAAATGACGACATCTGGAAATTCATCACAATATATGGTAACAAAAAATATGAAATTCGAGGCTAAATTAGCTCGATATTTAATATCTGATCCTGGTGATCAATTGCTCGGTTATGATGCATGTATTGAAAGACAAGGAAGTAGTATATCATATCGTTTAATTGTTTTGGGTTTGGAATCCATTTATCTAACGGATAATCCACCGAAAATTGCTCAATTAGAACAACCATATATTTACTATCGTGATATTCTTCGTGCTGAACTGGTTTGTATAAAATAGATATTAGAAATAAAAATAAATATATAACACCTATATTTAGATTGATGATTTTCCAGACTTTTTAACTGGAAATGAAAGAATGAATACACTACATCTGCGTTTACGTGTAATGATGCCATTAAATAAAAATAAAAAAAGTAAAAAGAAGAAACCTAAATCAACAAGTGTCGATGATATGGAAACAATTCCAAGTTTATTTGATCGAACTACGTTAGAAAATATTAATAATTATATGGAACATTTAACTCCAAGGTAAAATTTTGTTAATATTGAGAAAGCAACAGGCATTGTAGTCGAATCATCTTTTTTTGTAATAGACAAAGTTTATAGAATTTCAATTTTAGACGTTCATCATCAAATCGTGATCTTTATCAAGCACCATTATCACAAATGTATGCAGCTATTCCACTTCTTCTATCTTCAACAGCAGCACCACCACCAACAACAACAGCAGAAGCAAATGAATCTGATCCATTACATTTACCTCTTCATCAACTTGATGATTCATCAATAACAACAAGTTTAAATACATCATTAGAATTTAAAGAACGTCTCGATCAATTAAATATCAGTGGTGATCGTTCACATTTTCAACGTTTATTTTCTACACGTCGGACATTATCTGACGAGCAAAGATCAACGTCACGATCAAAATCAGCTCGATCATTATCGAAAAAAAAGGCTAATAGTGATTCTGATTGGATTCCAGATACACCAAGACTTAATCGATACATATTACAAAAACATGAAGATGATCTTTATGGTATTTTACATACACCACGTAGTACTCCACGAGTAAATCACGATGATGAAATGTTATTATCATCAACAGCTCGTTCGACCTTAACAGATTTATCTTTAACAAGTAATACAAGTATAAATACGACTAATAATGACGAATCAAGTGTATATTGTCCATCAATTGAAGAAGTGAGAAGGTAAAAAAAACATATATTTTCAATTTATTAACTATCTATTGATTAAAAAATTATTCCCAATAATATGGCTTAATATTTTTGCTTTCAGCAAGAGAAAAAGACATCGTATAGTATGTATATTTCATCCTATTCATCTTAGAACTAGTCTTCTGATTAGTAGTTTATTTAGATATTTAAAAAAGAAAGAAAATTATTTATTTATTTTTCTTTTCAATATTATTTAGTCTTCGAGATGATGTTGATGAAGATATGAAAGATATCGATATATATTTTCTCAGTTTAAATTCCAAAATTCCAGAAATATTAAGTGCTGCATTAAGTAATTATATTATTGTTTCAACATTACGTTATGAAGGTAACCCACAAACATCAAGATTATCAACAATCGATCGTCTTCAATATTCGTAAATATATTTTCTTTGTAGAACAAAAAAAGACTGTTTTTTTTCTTAAATATTTAGAATGGATACTATGATGATGAAATTTTCTGAATTAAAAGCGGAAATTTTACAATCGCATAATAATACCGATCAATTAATTCAATTAACCGATGAATTATATAATGCATGTGACAAATATTCGAAAGTAAAAGAACTTTTTTGGAAGGTAAATTCAATTTTTTTTCCAAGTAAAAACGTTTTTGATTTCCTCTTAGGATACAGATTTATTTATTTATTATGTTGCACATTTTCATTCTTGTTGTCAAATAATATCGAATAATGAATTTGATAATAGTACAATGAAGTAAGATATTCGTTCAAATTCATTTCAAGATTATTTTATTGAAATATTTAGTTTTTCTTTTTCAATTATGCAATTATTAAATCAAGTTTTTTTAAATACATTTGCATCAAATGAACGATTAACACGTTTAACACATGATCAGTAAGTGATTTGTTGAAATATTCTTTCTTTTGTCTACAATGCATAGATTATTAGAGTTCAGAAAGAAAAAGAGCGTGTTTATTAATCTTCGATATAATTAACTGCAATTTTCAATGAAATTCTTCTACTATATGAACCATTGAGAAAAGAAAAGATTTCTTTTATAAAAGTTTCATCAATTAGTTAATTGCTAAGCATGTTTCAGTTGATATTAATTTTTCAAGATCCGATATAATTAGAAAAATAACCTAGAAAATCAATTCCGGTTCCTCTCGTAACTTTACGAAAAAAAAGAATTTATTTTATATAGATGTTCACGACTTCAACTTCTTACAAATTGTCTTTTAATGCCACCGATAACTTTACTTACTACGCAAACAACAACATCTGATAAAACAATATCAAATGAAATATTAAAAGTAAATGATTTTTTTCTATTATTTAATATTTATTTTGTTTTAATAGGACACATATAGAATAGTATTAAAATGGATATTTGTATCATGTGCTTTATTATGGCAAATTGGTGATATACTTAGTCGACCATCATGGACATCGAAAAGTTTTCGTTTCCAACATTTTATTGAATTATTTGAAAAACAACAACAAAAAGTAAAAATTTTAATAAATAAAATTGATTATGATGCAAATGAGAGTATAGTAATGTCCATATCTATATATATAGCATTGAATCTATTTGTAAAGAACAGTAGGATATTTTTTAAAAGTATAGCACATATCTCTTCATGAATAGGATGAAGAAGAGAAAATATATAATTTATAAGTTTTAATTATAAATTAACTTTATTTAATTTTATTCATTGAATAGGAAATTAAGATCTATTATATTTTAGCAAATATGAGCTCTATATGCTACTCTATAATTAAATATGTATTAGGATATTGTAGTATTATTAATTTGATGATTTTTGTAGGATGATTATTTTGATTTGTTTGTTGATTCAATATCAAAATTAACAATGAATAATGAAAATAAAGTAATATATTCTTTTTATAAATCGTTTTCTAATTCATAGTAACACTTTAAATAGGATCCATTAAGTCCAAAACATGCATTATATGTATACCAAATATTTTCTACACTATCAATGTTATTAACTAATTCAGCAATACTCTCAGAATATCTTCGTGATCGATATCTTGAAGATTTTAAGTATGTTTTTTTCTAAATTGTGCTTCTATTTTTTGTATAATTTATTTTCTTTCTTAGATATTTTTTAAAAGAAGACGTTACACTTTCACGAATTCCTGTTCAATATCCAGTGTATCGTTTTATACCTGATTTAATTCGAAGTGTTCATCATCGTATATTATATGGTGACTCAAATTTAAATACATCGACACATATAAAACATCGTCAACTTATTTAAACTAACTATTATTCCAAATCAGATTTACTTCCGCAATAATACTTTTTTTTTCTTCACTGTCTACGATTTGGAACAAATATTTTAACTTTATAGTTCTTCACTAATCTCACACGTTTTTTTTCAGGATTCACACTTTTATTTTATGGAAAAATTTATTCAACAAAATATTTTATTAAAATAGTATAATGGGGATTTTGATCATATTTTGCACAAATAGTAACTTCTTCTGAGCCAACAGTTAATTGTCGTTGTACTATCGGATCAACATACTCTTCAGGTTTAAGTGTTTTAGCATCAATTGTAAATTTGACAGATACTGCACCAGGAATATTGCAATGAAAATCTACAGTAGAACCTTTTTTTAATCTACCATCTAATGGTGTATGTATTTGACATTTCGATGTTTCGAATTGTGCATAAACCACTGGAAATTTCATAGGTTTTGAAAGCTTTGTAACATTCAAAGGAAACATAACAGCTGATTTGGCTAGTGAATTCTTATCATCAATTCGTTTTGCAAAGATATATAATTGATGTTCACCTGTATGTTCAGGTGCAAATAAAAGTTGCCATAATTGTTTTTCATGATCATATTGTGCTAATGCACCATTTTCTATTGGTGTGCCTTCATATTCTATACGACATGACAATTGAATATCATCTGGTGCTTGAATAAGAATTTCAGCATACGATGCATTTTTTGACCATACAGCTGTTGAACGTGAATGCGGTGCTATGATTTTAAGATCAAAATCATAAAATGGTGCCCAAGTTTTTGGAAATGTTAACGGTGGTAATCGAATGTGATTAGCTTCAATCTGAAATGTAACAGCACATGAATAAAGGCCTGAATCTGTTTTTTTCTTTGCCATAATTATTGCATTGAAAAGACCATTTTGATTAGGTGCAAATTTACAACGCCAAATATTTTTATGTCGATCATAATAGACTTCCTCTGCATATGGTATTTCTTTATCATCAGTATCTGTTAATTGACCAAGAAGCTCTACATAATCAGGAGTCTTTAAACATATTTCAGCAAACGAAGAATTTTCAGATAAAGTAATTTTGCTATTGCCAATAGGAGAAAGTACTTCAAGATTGAGATCATAGTAAAGTTGTTTTGTTTTTAATAAAGATGAAGATGGAGCTGAAAGTTCTGTGGCATCAATTTTAAACATTACAGTAGAACTGTAGAGTCTTGAATCAGATTTTCTTTTAGCCAGAATCAGAGCATTAAACATACGATTTTCATTAGGTGCAAATTTACATCGCCAAAAACCGCCTTTATCGTCATAATAAGTTTCATTTCCACCAAATATTTCTTCATCGTTATCATTTTGAAGTTGACTAATTAAACCAACGTCATCCGGAGTTTTAATACGAATTTCACATGATGTTTTATTACGTAGTACAATAATACCTCGACCAACTGGATAAAGAATTTTTATATCGAGATCATAAAAATTTTGCCAAGTTGCTGGAAAAGAAAATGGCGGTGATGGAACTTGGATAGCATTTATTTTAAATTGTATAGCTGATGTATAGCTACCGGGATCACTTGTTTTCTTTGCATGAATAAGAGCATTAAATATTCCATTTTTATTAGGAGCAAAGTTGCATGTCCAGCATTTTCTTTCTCGATCATAATAAACTTGCTCTCCACAAAGAATCTTTTCTTCCGAATGATTTTCTAGTTTACCCAATAATTGAATATCAGATGGTGCTTGTATAAGTATTTGAGCATATTTTTCATTTCTATTAAGATTAATTATATGTGTATTTAATGGAGAAAGAAGTTTTAAGCGAAAATCATAAAAACATTTCCAATATTTTGGATAACTTATAGGTTCTTGTGGCATTTGTTTTATTTTAAGTTTTAAATCAAGTACGGCGCTAAATGAACCAACATCTGTATTACCATGTTTTGCATAAATTGTTATTTTATGATCACCAATACTAGCTGGAGCAAAATAACAATAATAACGCTGTTTCCTTTTATTAAAATAGACAAAATGACCACCCTCAATTTTTTCATCATGTAGTTTTAAATCAGCCAAAAGACCAATATCATTCGGAGCTTCCACAATAACTAATGCATATGGTTTATTATCTTCAAGTTCAACAAAACATTGATTTCGAGGTTGAATCATCTTAAGCTTGAATTCAAAATAAATTGGACGAAGTTTTGGCATTTGCATATATTCATCCATTTGAATTGGTGTTTCTAATAATTGCCATTTTTCATTTTCTTTTTCTGGTAAATGATGATATATCATTTCATTTGGACGTGGTAGAAAATAATAACTATATAATTTACGTTCAAAGGCTTTCTTATCATTCAAATGTCCAGCACCCCATGTTGATTCCATTAAATACCAATGATTATAAATTTCAACAGCATTCCATGCATGATCTGTTTCAGCAGGTGCACCTTCTCGATCATCAAATCCATATCCTTTTGAATATCCACCAACAAATTCACATGGCATTTCGAGTTGATCACATAAATACTTGTATATATTTGCATAACCAGCACAAACACCTTTTTTTGTTCGAAATACTCCTTCTGCTGATTGATCTTTATAATCTTTTGCAAAATATGATACTGTATCATATTTAATATTAAATGTAACCCAATAAAATATAATCCAATGTCGATCGATTATAGATTTTCCCTTGCAAAATGTTTTTATAGTATCAGCAAGATGTTGAAGAGAATCTGTGTGCCATGCTTCTATAACTGATCGATATGAAGTATTATCTATTGCTTGCTGACGTTGTTGAATAAAAACTTCACTAAAAGCTTGTGGATCAGCAACTTTAATATTAACAGATTCATCGACAATTGTTGAAGATCTACTCACACGACGCAGATTAGTAGGTGTAGGTATAATTATTGGGCGCTCATTCTTAGGATTTGGTATATTTTTTTGGGGCTCATTGTTGGTATTTGTTACATCCACTTCAGAAGGCTCATCGATAATATCTACTGGTTTTTCTGCTGTACATTGTCTACACCCCATCTTTCTTTTTGGCTAAATGTTGTATCAAAGTAGTTATATTGTTTTATAAGAAAAGAATAAAGTATCAACAAAATATTATATAATATCACATGTCTATAAATTCTTTATATCAACATAAGTCGTCGAAACATTTTTTATTATCTTCTGATAATAGAGCAACAACATGACGCTATTGTTGTTAAATATACAGGTGTCTATAATGTACACGTGTAAAAAAATAAAACCGTAATATGAATTATATCATGCTTTTATTTCTAAGAAAAATATGTTTATATTTCATTACAAATCAAGTCAAATATACTTGTGACTGTTAATTGTAAAACTAATACAATGTCTATTAAAATAAGAATATAAATAAAAATCATTGTATAGAATATTTTAAAAGAACTTTAAAGGTTGATTCTTGTTCATATTTTGCTTGAACTATTAGATCTTTTGAGTCAACAGTTACTTGTGTTTTTAGAACTGAATTCTTATATCCTTCTATCTTATCCCAGTTTGAATCAACTGTCAAATTAACATCATCTGCATTAGGAATAAAACAATGAATTGAAACAGTCGTATCTTTTTTTAAGATTCCATTAAGTGGTTCATAGATTCGACATTTAGTATGTTGAAATTGCCTATATATAGTCGGAAATTTCATTACTTGATAAATTTGTGTAACATTAAGATAGAATTTAGCTGCACATTGAAAATTTTCTTCAGTATTACGTTTAGCAAAAACAACTAATTCGTGTTGTCCAATTTGTTCAGGTGCAAATAATAATTGCCATAAATTTTTTCCATGATCAAATTGAGCTAATGATCCATTCTCTACTTTAATATTATTACATTGAATACCACATGAAAGTAGTATATCATCAGGTGCTTGCATAAGAATTTCAACATAAGAAGCATTTTCCGGCCAAATAACTGTTGAACAATTCTGTGGTGTGTCGATCGTTAGATTAAGATCATGAAAGATTTGCCATATATATGGATAAGATAAAGGTGGAGATATAATTTCTGTCGCTTCAATTTTAAAAGATATTACATTATTATAATTACCGGTGTCTGTTTTTTTCTTTCCAAAAACTGTAGCTTTAAATAAACCATTTTGATTTGGCGCAAAGTTGCAAGTCCATAAATCTTTTTGTTGATCATAATAAACGTGTTGTGCACCTATAATCTTCTGTTCATCACTATTATAAAGATATCCAATTAATTCAACATCACTTGGTGCACGAATAAGAATACATGCATAAGTCATTCCATTAGATACTTTAATTAAATGAGTATTTTTTGGTGAAATAAGTTTTAAACCGAAATTATGAAAGTCTTTCCATGTTTGAGGATAACTAATAGGATTTTCTGGTAATTTATCAATGTCTAATGTGAAGTCAATTGCTGCATCATATAATATAGCATTTGAAATGGTTTCTTTTGCAAAGATTGAAATTTTATGCTTTCCAATACTAGTTGGAGCAAAATAACAGCGGTAAAATTGATGTTCAGCATCAAAAACAATTCGACTACCACCATCAATCAGTTTATCATTTATTTCGAATTTGGCTAAAATGTCGACATCGGTTGGTGTTCGCAGAAGAATTAAAGCATATGGTTTGCCTTTAATAAGTGTCATATGTTCTTGATAAAGTGGACTAATTAATTCAAGTTCAAGTTTAAAATAAGTTGGATAGATTCTTGGTAATTGTAAATATTCACTCATACTTATTGGTGTTTCTAATAATTGCCATTTTTCATCTTTCGGTAAATGATCATATATTATGTGATGAGGACGAATGAGAAAATAGTAAGGATTTACTTCTCGTACAAATTGTTTTTGTTTATTTATAGAACCAGCACCCCATGTTGACTCTATTATATACCAATATTTCTTAATTTTAACAACATTCCATGCATGATTTACTATTGGTGTAGCATCTACACCACGCATTTCATATCGAAAAGATTTTGCATGTCCTCTGATATCCATACATTCAAGATCTAATTTGTCACATAGATATTTATATAAACCACTGAAATCACCACATACTCCTATTTTCGTACGAAAAGTATCTTCTACTGATTGTTCAGCTACAGTATCCGCTAAGAATGCTACAACATCATAGTTGATGTTATATGTAATCCAATAGAATATAATCCAATGTTGATCGATTATAGATTTTCCTTTGCGAAATGTTTTTATAGTTTTAATAAGTTGTTCAAGTGAATCTGGTTGCCATGACTGAATAGTTGATCGATAAGATGTATTATCAATAGCATCTTGACGTTGTTGGAGTATTAAAATATCAAATGCTTCGGGAATGACGTCTGTCATTTCAACATAATCATAAGTTGCAATTAGAAGATGGTTAACATCTGCCTCGACAGTTAATGGATCATTTAATGAAATAGTATCATCTTCTAATGAATCATTATGATTGTTAGCATGATCGGAAGATAATATACTTGCATTTGCTACTTCGTTATTGGTGTTTACCACTCGAGAATCAGACGTTGGTTCACGACTAAATCTTTGCTCGAAAGTGACCTTTCGGTTTTTTTTAACCCTGCCATTATCATATTCGTCTGGTTCAGCCGTTGTTAGCGATATGATATTTTTAACTAGAATTGATGAAGAATGTTCTAGAAAGCCATCAGGTGGTTTAAGTATTACATTGTTGTATGGATTATTAATTGAAGTACGGTTTTGACGTAGTATTCCACTATTGACTGAATTATTTACCGGAAGATTAGAAGATGTGTCAATTGGAGCTACTTTTTGATGTGTACCAAATTCACAGCCCATTTCTTTTAGCTTCCACAATAAATTATGAAATCTTCTTTGCAACTTGTAACAAACTCTTCTTTAAGAAAAATGAACATAAAATATAAATTTTTAATCTCATATAAAAAAAAGATTATTATATCTTTTGAGAAAAATTACGCACATGATAATGATGTTATTAGAGTTAATAAAGGAAACGGAATAAAACTATTGAAAATCGTTAGGCATTATTATATTACTATAGGCATATTGAACACTGCATTGTTATAGCTAAGTGCCATTTATAAATATATTCTTAACATATCAACATAATTAAAAACTTATTCTGTGTTTTCTTGTTATATCTTGTCTGAAAATTATATTGTATCTTTGTTAAGAGTAGTATCATACAAATATAAGTATATATTTCTTTAAAATAGAAAAGATTTTAAGCTTATTATATAATTCTATAGTATAAATACAAAACTTTCTAATTGTATATTCATTTATTTATATGATTTCTGAAGATTAAAAAATAAAATTAATCAGAATAATTTTAAGCTGAACAAATATAAAGATATTTTACAAATTTTTATTGTATATGATATGTAGTAGACTATATATAGCGAATGTCATTGTTTTATATGAAGTAAAGTTCTGTTAATTGGAATTATTTTCTGCTTTAAAATTGATCAGATCATTGCATTTAAAGTAATTCTTTGTAATTAGTTGAAGCCAAAAACGAAGTACGATGAATTTCTTTTTGATAAGAAATCTGTGATTTGTTTTTTACGCATATACTTTTGCATCAAATCATCTGATGAATTTACATATAGAATGGGAGAGAATCAACTATAAAAATGAAGGATGGGAACACTGATTACAAAAGATAGTAAAGAAAGGAATGACATATAACACAATAGCTTGTTTTTTTGACGTCTATAAATTCTAAAGAAATATAATAATCACAAAAAAAACGTAAGGAAAAAGAATAATATATATTATTAATATATTTGCTGTTTTATCTTTATATGCAATAGTAATTTTCCATACTAAAGATCGGTTTACTATTTCTGAGAAATTATTAGACATCAATGAATAATACAACGGAAACAAATATTAATTTATTACATGTTAGTAAAGTAGAAGAAGATGGACAACACTTCCGGGATGAAAATTTTAAAGGATCAAATACAGAAAAAGATCTTTTTAGAGATATATGTCAATCATCTTCAATTTTTATTTTCTTAATTGTTATTGCAATTATTCCGAGTAAGTTTATTTTTATCTAACTTTCATTTTTTCAAACTGTTTTCTGCATTTTTCTTGTAGTTTTACAAATATTTATCGGTTGGCGTTATTCTGATGCTTGTCCAATTAATAAATCAATTCCATATTATTTAATTGTAGCAGGTATTATTAGTCTTCTTCTAGTTATTTTAATTTCGATTACACAATTTATAAGTCGAATATTTGGAAGCAAAATGTTTGAAGATGCTAATGATATAACAAATCCAAATCGAACAACAATGCTTTTTGGTTGTGGAATATGTAGTATAATGTGTATAAATCTTTCTCTTTTTGTATTCTTACTTGGTTGGTCAGTTGCTGGATTAGTATGGATTATTGAAGTATGGCATCGAGTTCAATATCATCGAATAGATAGTGATGATTATTGTAATCCATTACTTTATCAATTTACGTTTTCACTTCTTTTACTTACAGCAACATTTAAAATACTATTTTTTTGTTTTGTTTGTAGAAAAACATGTGTCAGAGTTAGTAGTACACGAAGAAAAGACACAACAATAACAGAAGAATGTTAAATTTTTGGATATTTTAATTAGTTCGTAAATAAATTTTATCGATAAGATTGAAAGAGAAAGAGAGTAACTTTTAATATATATCAGAAACGAAAGAAAAAAAATTCAATGTGTTTCTTTTATTTTAGCAAGATTAAATGCAATAAAAAAATCGTTGATAATCATTTATTTTTTGTCTTTATTTCAATATAAACCAAGCATTAAAACAAGATTATATGATAGAAAAATACTTCTGTTTAGTAATTTGCATAATTTAAACCTTATATATTATAGTTTAATTGCAAATACTACATGTATTGGACTGACGAAAAAGATATTTTGCAAAGTGTTGTAGAACAAGAATTAGAATTAAGAAAAAATTAAAAACAACACAAATCCTTTGAACAATATACAAGAGTATGATTAATCAATTCAAAGATTTACTACACAATAATTATTTAATAGGATGTGAACCATCAAGTAATCATTTCCTTAGAATGGAAAAGTCTAAATATAAAGGTATACGTAAGAGACGTTCCATGAGAAAATCAAGAATTTTCAGATATCAAAAACACGGAAGTCAACTGATTTTGGATCTAATCCATATGAGGTTAGGTCTAAGTATTTTATATACGAATCTATAATATTACGATCTAAAGATCTACTCAGGCTGGGATAGCATTGATCGACTTATGACACACCCAAAAATATATCTGAAAAATGTCAAAAATTTAACTGTTTCTTTTTATGAGTTTTTTACTTCAAAGTATTTCACTATTCGAATTGAGTCATATATCAATCGATAGTGCTTAACTTACTCTACAAAACGGTATATATATTATTTCTTCTTATTCTTGATAACCAAGTGAAGAGGCTCAAATATTGAATTTATTGAAATTACATAAAATTTATCTTTTCAATATTTTGGTGAGACATCAATTTTATGATTTGATTATCGAAAAAGTGATTACAACATCTTGTAATCCATTTAATTCTTTATTGAATCATATATTGAACATAAATTTCATATGTTCTGCAGTTGAGATAATCAGATTCAAAAGATGAGTACTGTTGTCTTCGAAATTCTAGAAGTATGTATTTACACACTGCTGATAGTTCAGTATGAGTTTATGTGATCAAAAAATAATGTTAAGATTCAATTTCAAAAGAACTCCTAATTGTCACAAGTTGTGTGTTTGTTGAATTTTGCTTTTACAAAACTGAATTATTGAATATCTAGCCAGATCTATTATCAACATTTGCCTACGCTCGCAATTACAACGCCAGGGGTCTTTGGTGGCCTCACAAGCTACTGCTAGCATTCGATCTATTCTCCGCTGCAGGCAGAATGTAATTTTTTTCCTTTGCGATTTTTATTCAATTATAAATCTTGATACAATAATAGGAATGTTTGGAAAAGGGCGTTTCATGATTCTAATAAAGATCGTTAGTGTTTCCCACACAGACATACATGCTCAAGAAGAACACGATCAACAATATTAATACTACCATCAAGAAGAGCACGCTCAACACAAAAAAATGAAGAAATAGCACCACGACAAGTCGCACCATCACGTTTCGTAAAAAGCTCTAAACCCTCACAACCCCAACGACCTTCATCCACCTTTTTCCAATTTTCCCAATTGCGGACTGAATTCCATTGGTATTGATCACCACTGAAATGCCAATCACGACACTTGCGGCACTTGGCACAAGGACGACCTCCACAATCAAGTTCTTTACACGTGCCAGGTGCAGTAAATTCTTGTAGTTCTAAATAAAAATATTAGGCACTCACAAAATCATGCAAGATAAAAGTGATGATTTTATAAGAAGTCTGTTTGGAGGGTCGTGTCAAACTTGAAATTATCTCTGCAATAGACCATTGGATCAGTGGATGTAAAAATTATTTTCATTTACAAAGAAATACTTCTGAGAAAATGTAGGAGAATGCCGATAATTGGAGTCATTCAGAAGCCGATATTAAGGGTGTGGGTATCGATGCTAGGTAAATATGATATCTATATCCGCACCCACACCCACACACCCTAACTGGATTAGGACATCTGCCCGGATGGCAGAGGGTGTGGGTTCGAGTCTCATGAAGGTTATTTTTCCCTGCGTTTGTCTTTCTGTTGTGTTCTTTTGCTGGTGTCCCTTACATGGCTCTAATATGATCCTAATATTTCGAATAAATCAATTATACTTACGGTCCATGTATATTAAAATAATCTAAAATAAAATATAGTATTCATTTAAAATAACTGAATTATACTTCAGGTGGATGTGAATGTGGGATTGAAAGTGGGTTAGTGCTAGTGACGGACGCAGCTGTTGGCCATTCGACGACCACTACCCTCTGCAAATTCTTTTCTTCCTTTTTCTTAGCAAAAATCATTAAAAAGATGTTATAGTATTCTGAATATGCTTCAAAAATCAAATTTTCATTAGGATCATCGCTCCCTCCAGCAAACCGTCACAACCTCACCGATTTTCTGGGTTCGCCGCTGGTTAGCGGTTTAGATGGAGAGTATTGGTGCAGGTGAGAGCATACGTATACATGCGGGTCTGCAAAAGAAGAACACCCACACCCTCACGCTCGCATCTGCGAAAAAATTCACAGTCGGTACTTAGGTATATATCTGCTATTAGTATCAGGGTTGTGTGGATATATTTTTAAAATTTAGTATTGCTTCTCAATGGTCTAACTGAGTGTCTATCATTACAGCCTAACAGCACAGCTTATCAAGGATTTGTGAAAAAACATCGTAGTTGAAAAAAAATCAATGTATTATTTTACTTCATAAATGAAACGCTTTCTTACCTTTTCGTAGCAAACAGAATATGTGACTGAAATTGCACGTTGTATTTATACGCGTTCTTGAGAAAGATACGACATGAACGTATGGCTTCTTGCTCGACCTCTCTTCAGAAGCTTTTATTTGCAGATTACTTTACCGTTTCGAACTGATAAGAAAAAATCAACAATTTTGGCTGGCGCAACGAGCCGTAGTTATTACAAGTGAGATTGCGGATGTGGGCCGGAGCTATGAACAGGGGCACCCATATCCTCGCGCAAAAGTCTTTATCTCTTCATTTCTTTGCTATCATACTTTGCATAAAGTTTATTGTCGAGTAGAGATATGACTTGAGAGTTTTATTTCAGTATGGTATGCAGATCACAATACAATAAAACTCTGTTGTCATATCTCTACTCGGCAATAAATTTCATACAAAGAATCATAGCATATAAAAAGAAAGGAAGAAAAGACTTTTGTCCACGGTGGGTGTGGGTGTGGGCGTTCTATCTCATTCACCCGCACCCACCCTCAAGATGAACAAACATCCACACCCACACCCTCAAGAAAAAAAAGTTATTCAATGTATTGTTTTTATTTTAGCATGATGAAAAATAATAAAGAAAATCGTTGATGATTATTTATTCAACAGTATATTTTATAATATTTAAATAGTTTGCTCCTTGATCATATTTAACAAAAATAAGTACTTCTTTTGAACCAACAGTGATTTGTCTTTCTAAATTTGGATTTGTATAACCTTCAGTTGGCAGCCATTCAGAATCAACTTTTATATCAACGCCAGTTGCATCCGGAATTACACAACTAATGGGAACGACTGATCCGTTCTTTAAAATACCGTCTAAGGGTGTGTTGATTTGACATTTTTTAGATTGAAATGGACTAAAAACTGCAGGAAATTTCATAGGACGTTGAAGTTTAGTAACATTAAGACCAAACTTAACGAGTGCCGTAGCGGATGCAGTATCACTAATTCGTTTGCCATAGACGACTAGTTCATGTAGACCTGTGCATTCAGGTGCAAATAAAAGTTGCCAAAGTTTTTTATCATTATTAAATTGTGCTAATGATCCATGTTTAATTGCAGCATTATTATATTTGATATCACATGACAGTTGAACATCATCTGGTGTTTGAATAAGAAGTTCGGTGTAGGAAGCATCATCATTCCAAACAGCATTTGTACTATTTTTTGGTGCTTGTATTTTTAGACCAAGGTCATAAAAAGATGACCATGTATTTGGATAAGATATATTAGGTATTGGAATTTGTTTTGCTTCAATTGTAAACGATACAGCTGATGTAAAATTTCCAGGATCAGATTTTTTCTTAGCGAGAATAGCTGCTTCAAATATGCCATCGCGATCAGGTGCAAATGAACATACCCAAATATCTTTTTCTTTATTCCAATAGATTCGATTTCCATTTATAATTTCTTTTTGGTTAGCATCCTTCAAACGACCAAAAAGTTCAACATCTGTCGGGGTTCTTATTAAGACTCGTGCATGACTACAGGTATTATTCAGTTTAATTAAATTTGTATTTTGAGGCCACAATACTTCTAAATTCAAATCAAAAAAGGTATCCCACGTGCGTGGGAAACTGATAGGATTAGTTGGTATTTGATTGATATTCATAACTAATTCAAGAGCTGAATCGTACAAATCACTACCTGAATTATTTCGTTTTGCATAAACTGTAATCTTATGTTCACCAGTAGTAGCTGGAGCAAAATAACAACAATAAATTTGTTTTTTACTATCAAACATGATACGTTGAGCACCTTCTAGTTTTACGCCATTCAGTTTAAGGTCAGCTATAAGTTGTACATCCGATGGTACACGCACAAGAACTAATGCATGAGGTCTATCGGGAAGAAGATCAACATGACCTCGATTATATGGATTAATTAATTCAAGATTAAGATCAAAATAAGGTGGACGAAGTTTTGGCATTTGCATAAATTCATCCATATCAATTGATGTTTCTAATAATTGCCATTTCTTATCTTCTGGTAAATGATGATATATCATTTCATTAGGACGTGGTAGAAAATAATAACTATTGAATTGACGCTCAAAGGCTTTTTTATCATTTAAAATTCCAGCACCCCATGTTGATTCCATTAAATACCAATGATTATCAATTTGAACAGCATTCCATGCATGATCTGTTCCAGTAGGTGCACCGTCATGATCTTCAAATCCATATCCTTTTGAATATCCAACAACAGTTTCACATGGTAATTGTATTTGATCACATAAATGTTTATATATATTAGCATAACCAGCACAGACACCTTTTTTATTTTGAAATACTCCTTCTGATGATTGATCTTTATAATTTTTTGTAAAATATGATACTGTATCATATTCAATATTGAATGTAATCCAATAAAATATAATCCAATGTTGATCGACAATAGATTTTCCGTTGCAAAATGATTTTATCATATCAGAAAGTTGTTGAAGTGAGTTTGGCGTCCATGTTTCAATAGTTGATCGATATGAAGCATTATCTATTGCTTGCTGACGTTGTTGAATTAAAGATTTATTGAAAGCTTGTGAGTCAGCAACTTGAATGTTAATAGGATTTTTTATATCAAGTAGCTTAGCAATAATATCATCATTTGAAAAAGTATTGGATTGTGTAAGAATAGAGTCATCTATTATATTATCATCATCATCATCTCCTTGTCTATTTCCTGGATATACTGCGGCGGATTGGGTACAGCCCATTTTTAAGTTTTACAAAATGTAACTACTCGTAATAAATATAAAAAAGAATAATTTGCCTAGTTCCTAAATGTATTTATACTGAATCGTTGTTATAACGAACGAAGCGTTTGTTGTAGTAACATTTATATCTGTCAACAACTATATGTTTTTCAATTTGAATTTTTTTCTAGAATGAAACAGCTCTATGCATTTATAATGAAGAGAAAAGTAAATCTAGTAAACCTTTTAATTTAATAAAGAGTATCGATACACAATTTTCACTCCGAAAGGTATTTTTACACTACAGATGCATCGATCGTCACAACGATAAAAGAATTTGTTTTACTTATTTAAGTGTTAGAAAAGCAGTGGGAGTCAGTGACGACTGAAGTGACGTCGAAAAATGTTGGTAGCATTTCATTACAATTTATGTTATTAAGGATTTTGCAAAAAAAAGAAAAGTCATTTTAATATTTATGGTATGAAGTAATTAATTACTAAAAATGTCAATAGCAGAATTTTAGGCCTCAATATATTTTATTCTATATCTATTATTGTTATGAAAAACGATGATTAAATCAGTAATATTTACAAAAGATATTCTTCACTTTAAGTAACTTTGATTTGTTTCATCACTATGCATCTTCTCACACTATTTCGTGTTTCATATTTTAATTTCACAGAGATTGAGTAATGAATAAATCACAATACTTTAAAATAAGCATTTGTTCATTATTTGAGTTTAATTTCTTTTTCAATATATGCCTACTTTTCGTATCCAAGAAAATATTGTTTGGCTGGAAAAATACAAAAACTTTGTTATTATATTTTTATAACATTTTCAATTTCTATGACGTCAAACTGTTCTTCTTTGTTTCTTTCATGATTGTTCGTTCTCTTTACTTTTGTTTTTCGACATCTGTCTTGAGAATGTGTGAGTGTAAGCATTGTTTTTACGATTCCCCACATCCCTACCCACACTTTAAAAAGGTAAATAACTAAGAAACTGTCTGAGGTGGTAACCAAATGACGTGATGTCATAGACTAATTATCCAAAATACAATTGTTGCTTATAAGATCGATCATATACAGTTTTTATGAACCTTCGCTCATAAATCCATTCGTTGATAATTGATTTGGCAAAACTAAACTAAATCTGTAAAATGTATTGATCGATTTACAATGTTTAAGAATTATTGAGAAATCCATTAGATATTAAAAAGAAGAAAAGTATGACGCTTTTAATCCTGTATATACATAACATTTGAAATACTGTTTTATGCATTTAGGTAAAGTAGATGAAGAGTAGTAAAATAAGCACATAAATAGGTAGATGAGTGGTACGCTTTTAGAATATATCTTCACTGTATTAGAGGCCATGATTTTCGTATACCTCAATGTATCATATAGTGATATCTAATCTACTAAAAGGTTGATCGATTAAGAATTTGAACCTTGAGAGTAGTTGTGAATGCCAGTTCGATAGTATCTCATACCGACGCATTCTGAAAATGGTATTGAGTATAATCGTATTAAATTAAAACAAATCAATATTTTAAAAATTTGATGATTAAACTATTTTCGTTATTAAAAAGAGAACATCATCTCCGTTTATGTTTGTTTTGAATTAATATATTCTCTATATATAAACTGAGTGTTAACAATGTATCAATTGATAGTTATTATTCTTATCATTATCTACATCATATAAACCAAACCATCAGATAAACTCAATATAATTTATAATTTCAGTTAATATTTCAATATTCTAATGTACAGAAGTTTTTTTTATTTCATATAGAAATGAATCAAATAAACATAGTATGAAGAAAGCATAGATAGTAGTACAAGAAGATACTATCAGTATTATATACATTACATAATCTTTCTATTCTGGAGTATGTAGCAATTTATATTTGACCTAACTTATACTTTCCTCAATCTTGACACATTCCAGTAATTGACACTTCTTTTTTGTAATCAGACACGTACATCATATAAGAATAATTGATCCACATAGTTTTCTTCAAACAAAAAAAAGTTGCAATCTTGTTTTCATGTTATGGAAATAAGATTCTTTTTCTTCTTCTTCTTAAATTTCAAATAATTTATTTAATTTATAGATCAAATTTAGAATAATCTCGCTAAATATAATAATAAAAATATTCATATTATCTATCTAAAGAACATAGTTGTGTATTACTATAGAGTAATCATTCGACAGATGACGCTAATTTCCTGAAAGTTTCTAACCGGATTGTTCAATTCGTTGGACGAATAAGTTTGTTGTAAATAAATCGCATCATATCACATCGTATTTCCTTTTTCCTGAAAAAATCAATTAATGAACAAGTATTCTTTTTCGATCTATGTAAAAATATTATAATTAATTTTAATGGAAAGTACTCGTTCTTAAGAACAATTTTGTAAACATGTCATTGATTTTTAAAAAAGAAATTTAATTGATTTTTTCGCATATGATTTCTTACATCTCATTTATGTGTTTAACAAATATAATTAGCATTTCATCAACAAATATGCACAACTCATCATCTTCGTCTAATAATGATAATAACAATACTAACAATAATAATAATAATAATAATCAGAATGATAATACAAAAGAAAATATGGATGGTATTCTTGATGTGATGTTTGATTATACAGGAAATGGAGACGATGAACTTACAATACGGTATGAAGAAATTTTTTATCGATAATAAGAAAAATTTATTATTTGTTTTTCCCTTTTAAGACGTGGTAATAAATTAGAAGTTTTATCCAAAGATGAATCAATTTCAGGTTCACGTGGTTGGTGGACTGGAAGACTTGTTGATACAAATTCCGTTGGCATTTTTCCAGCTAATTTCGTAGCTAATTCGAAACCAAATCTTCGTATTATTGATTATAATGATATACAAATAGGCGATACGATTGGTGTGGGTGGTTTCGGGTACGATATATTTACTACTTCTTAAATAGTTTGAAAATATGTTTTTCTGTAGTCATGTCTTTCGTGGTAAATTTGGTGATATTGATGTAGCTATAAAAACAGCCAAATCTCTGGCATCATTTCGTTCAATTCAAACAACAACAACCAATGATGATACATCACATCAAGTACAAAAATCTCTTATCGATAGTCTTTTACGTGAAGCACGTCTTTTTTCTAATCTTGAACATCGAAATATCATTCAATTATTTGGTGTTAGTCCATCATTATTAACAAAAAATCTTTATCTTATTATGCAATATGCACATGGTGGTGCACTAAATCAACTTTTACAAAAACGTCAATCAGGTCTTTATCCGAATGTATTTATTAAATATGCAAAACAAATTGCAGATGGAATGAAATATTTACATGAAGAAGCATGTGAACATATTATTCATCGTGATTTAAAATGTTCAAATAGTAAGACAAACTATAGAACAATGATATTCATGTGTTTTGTTTTGTTTTAGTTCTTATTTTAGAACAAATTAATGATGTTCATGATGATAATGATCTTCTAGAAAAGACATTAAAAATAACTGATTTCGGACTTGCAAGAATACAATTACAATCATCAAGCATGTCTGCAGCTGGAACATTTGCTTGGATGAGTCCAGAATGTATCCGGAATAGTGAATATTCAACTAAATCAGATGTTTGGAGGTGAAGAAGTATTTTATTTATATTCGCAATATTAATCATGATTTTTTAAACAACAGGAAGCAGATGTCAGAAAAAGAGTACTATCATGATGACATGAGATTTAAGGACAAACATATTTTTTAATCAAAGAAAATAATTTGAGTTTATCCTTTGATAAATATATTATTTTCATATAAAATTTATGAATAATTTATTTTTAGTTTTGGTGTTCTCCTTTGGGAATGTTTAACAGGTGAATTACCTTATAAAGGTTTTGATCAGATGCAAGTTGCATTTGGTATCGCAACTAATAAATATTCTCTTCCTATTCCAACTACATGTCCAGATGAATTCTCACAATTAATGACAAGTATATTATTTATTTTTGTTTTATTATTCTAATAATTTGTTTTTTTCTACTTTGAAGATTGTTGGAAACTTCTTCCAAGTGAACGACCAACATTTAGTGATTTACTTGAACAAATCGATGGAATTATTGAAAGAAATTACATGGAAGCAAATGAAGAATCTTATCAATCATTACAACAAGATTGGCGTCAAGAAATTCAAGATATGTTTAATGAATTAAAAGAGAAAGAACAAGTAAAATAAATTAATTAATAAAAATCTAAGTAACAAAAAAATCTAATTTAGGAAATTCGTGATCGTGAACAAGCAATGCATGAACGTACTTTAGAACAAAATCATCAACGTTTACAATTAGAAAAATGGGAACAACAATTACATGAACGTGAAATGCATATTGTTGAATTAGAATTAAAATTATTAATGGCAACAAATAATCAAGAACGTACACAACATCAAACACCTAAAGTACAAAAACGATCAGGACGTTTTATGCGTTCACTTCTTAATGGAAATACGACTATTTCATCGAATAATAATACAATAATTAGTAGTCCAACAAGTAATTTTTGAAATACAAAAATTTTCTTTTTAAAATATTTTATAATTTTTTAGATTTTCGTCATTTAATATCCGTGTGTCATAATCATCTAGGAATTGATCATAGTTCATCACCAACAATTCCGACTTCATCAACATCATCTTCCTCACCTATATCATGTGCAATGCCATCAAATTCATCCATAACAATTCTTTCAAATTCATCAAATAAATCATTTAATTCGCCTTATAATTGTTCATTTTCAAGTAATAGTACACCATCAACACCCAATATAAATCGACTTCGTACATTAACCTGTACGTATATTAATATTCTAAGTTTTTATTGATTAGTCTAGTAATTAACTAAATGAGAAAAGATATAATACAATCGAGTAATTGTGTGTTTCTAGCAGCGGTTGATCTTATTATAAATGAATTTATAGATGGTGAATTTTTCTCGATTATTAATGGTAAGAATTCGAAAATATATTAGGACTCTAATGACATACAATATCACTGTAGATATAATTCTCATGCTAATTAATAAACATTTCTTTTAAAGTTTCTAGAGACAATTAGTCGTCTTATTTCTATTGCATATTAACACTGCTTTTAGCATATATATATATAATACGCATTGATTATATGCTTACCTCTTCTTTCTTTTTCTGCTGAATATAATTCCATTTATTACCTTAATATTGCATGTATAAAAATTCGAAGAAACAAATAAAATTTATGAAAATATTTTTTTTTTCGATAAAATTAACCATTATTTTTTAGTTCATTTTCCAGTTGATGGATATAATTCTTCGACACCTCCGGAAAAACCTCCACGCTCAAGTAGTCAAACGAAATGCTCTAGTCGAAAATCTAAATCATCAATTTCATCAAGTATAAGACAAAAATATGGAAAATCAAATGCTCGTAATGGTGAACCGAAATGGTATTTAGATACTTTATCACCAACAATTACGAATAATAATGATAATCTTACAACATCAAGTACAATATCAACTCCAATTATTGATCGACAAAGTCGAAAATTAGGTAAAAAAGGAAATTTCGGTTTTTTTGGTAATTTCATTTTTAATCTTCATATTCTTTCAGTTTCAAAAAGTTCAGATGAATTAAGTATAATATGATTCCTAGATAAACATAATATTATTCTATATTAATTTTTTTCATACATCTAGCAACATGCAGTTATTGCTAAATTATTTTGTATGTTTATATAATTCTTTTTTGAAATAGTAATCATTAACAATCATCTTTAATAAATATTTATAACTTACATGATTATTAAATATTTAATTTGCTTAGCGCTCACGCTAATATTTTTTGTTGTTTTATTCAAATCAATAATCATTTTCTTTTGTTTTTTTGTTTGTTTAATAGACTCATCATCATCATCATCTCTATGTTCAACACCAAATGATCGTTCATTAGCCCGTGCTTTATTTGATATAAATTCTATGTTAATTAATATTGGACTTGGTCGTCGTGCACCATCTCAATTAGATTCTTCAACAACAATAACGTCTCAACAACAACAACAATCAATTCCACTTCGTTCAACAAATGAAATCATAACTAAAAAAACATCATCATCAATAGCAATAGAACGAACTAGTTCATCATCAATAGTAAATGACTCAGAATTTATAAATATTAATTATAAAGCTCGACCTTCTTGTTCACCTGTTCGACCTAATTCACTTGTGCTTTCATCTTCAACTCCACAAAATTCTAGTCAAAAGAAACCTATAGAAAGTGATGATGATTATGAAAAATATTATTCAGCACAATCATCGAATATATCAACACCAATTGTACATCATTCAATGGATCTATCATCTTCTTCTTTAAGAACTTCACAAGAAAAATTAATTCTATCATCTATACTTGATATTGATAATGAAGAACAACAACTACCTCAAATAAAAATATTTCAAACTACAAAATGATAATATCGTGAAACAAAAGATTTCCTTTACGAAGCATTTCTGTTTTCTTTTTAGTTTTTCCTCTCTTTCGTGTACATATATATATATACATCCATAATCTTATACATATCTTGTATTATTATTTGAATGCTCGTTCTTTTACTTTAATGTATTTATATATATATAGGAGTGTATGGTAACAAAACATTCTTTATTTTGACTATATTATATTTGTTTCTTGTGAAAAAAAAATTTGTTTCTAACTTATTGAATAGAACAGAAAAGAAATAATAAAATTAAGACTATATTAAATGCTATAGTAGATTTTATTCTGCGGAATGATTTCAAAAAATTGTATTGTGATTAATAGATATATTCTGTGTATATCTTCAGATTATATCAATGCGTACAAGGAATCGTAAAGGACTTGAATAGGTATGAGCTATTATTAGTATGTGAGAAATATTTTGGATTTCATCGTAATGATAGTATGCAAATCAACTTGATATTTAGAATCATATGTAATTTCGCAAAAGATCTTATATCTGACACATATATAGATGAATCATTATGATGCAAAAAATGAAGCTAGCATCTGTACGTAATTATATTTGATAGTTAGATAAAATAATATTTGAGTATATATTCATACTTATTGACAAGTATGAATCCGAGCGAAAGCATAATTTTGTCTTTCTTTTTTCTTTCTTGTTCTGTTTTGCCTTTTTTGGTCATGTTATAACGAGAAAAACACGTCACATGAATACTGAAGCTCTATAAATATATATATATATTCTCTTCTTTATTTGATGTGGAGCATATATATATATTTATAGAAGAAAATATCAAGCGTATATGTCTGCAATTTTGCCAATACAAGATCAACTTCTCCGCTGTTGTCGAGATCCTATAGATCCGAATACTGACGAATTATATGAATTAAATAATGTTTTAAAAAGAATTAATCGAGATAATAAAAGATATTTAATTGATTGTGAAGATGCCACTAATCGAGCACCCTTATTTCATGCAATTGAAAGTGGTAAATCATTAAACTTTCTTAAACAATTACTTGAATTTCAAGCTCGTGTTACAAGTCGAATATTAATCTGTGCTATTCGATATGGTAATTTAGATATATTAAAATTATTTCATGAATATGGTGCTGATTTTCGACAATCTTATCATACTTTATCACTGTTACATGAATGTATACTGTTACATAAAAATAATTTAATTAGTTTTTTAATTGAACAAGGAAATGTAAGTATTATTGAAATATTAGAAATAATTTATGATCTTTTCTTTTTGAAATAGGTCGATCCAAATAGTGTTAATCACGATCATGAAACTCCATTATTATACGCAATATTTCGTACAAATATCGAAGCAATACATATTCTTCTACGTTATTCAGCGACTGATCCATGTTTAATAAGTACACTTAAGAAAAAAGTAACTAGCTTTCATATTGCTTGTGAGATGGGTATTGATGAAGTACTTCCAACGATGCTAAAAGATATTTCAATTACAAATATAAATAAATTATCTAGTAGTGATCAAACACCATTTGATCTATTTTTATCTTGTTATTTATTTACAAAACATAATTTATATATGAATGAAGAATCATTAAAAAATTTCTCAGTATTATTCGATTTATTTATTTCTTATGGTGCTAAATTACATCATTTAACAAAAGCATATCGACGTACACGTGCACCATATGTTACAAAAATCTTAACAATAATTCTTAAAAAAAATATTGTCTTTTCCGATATTATTCTTCAAACGGGTCGTTCAACGATTATTAGTTATTTACAATCACTTATTTGTGAATCATTAGGTGATTGGCCTTATGTTGTTGAATCAAATGATGATATAACAGTAAAACAACGTCAATTAATACTTCGACAACTTTATGAATTATTTATGTTTGCTTATTTTAAATCAAGAAATCGTCAAGAAATTAATAAAAAATTATTGACAAGATGCTGTTCAGCTAATGAAAAAAGTTCGAAAATTAAACAAATTTTATGGTTATTTATTCAAAATTTTATTGAATCAAAAAAAGAAGTTGGTCTTTTAAAATCAATATGTCGAACAAATATTCTTTTGAATATTGATTCGATTGATAAACATTGTACATATACAAATTTGGGTGTGAACAAAAATCTTGAACCATACCTTTTATTTTTTACTAAGATTTAAATAAAAAAAAGTTAAAATTCCGAAGAAACGACAGATTTTTTTGTGTGCTCGATTATAAATCATTACTACCAAAGTCGTTTTTATAACATCTACTGAAGTAATTAAATAATGTTCTGGGTTCATCAACAATAGAAAGTGAAGATTTATGGAATTAGAAGCAGCGATCAAATAGGGAACTGCAAAGTGGTCCCGGTCCCGGGACCAAGACGAAAATTGTCAGTTAATTCCTTAATGTTTTTATCAAGTATGAGACCAGAAATTTTCTTATTTTGTTTTTCTTTAATTAAAAATTGAAAAATGTGTTATTTTATAGTTCAAGAAAAGCCATATAGATTGAATTTACAAACGAAAAAGCGAGAATTTTCGTGAAGTTCATACTTTTTTTTGCATATTTGAAGACAAAATCAGAATTATTCTTAAGCTTTTATCAAGACCGGGACCACCGGGACCAAAAAAAGTGATTTTGCAGTTCCCTACGATCAAGACGGAAAATATATAGTATGAATGTCCTCGTCTTCTTCTGCTTCAAGTTATTCCAGTCTCTTACATCTTCTATGAATGCTTTTAAAAGAAGTGCGTACGCGTAGTCTTTCCTAATATAATCTTTGAGCATTTTAGTTTTAATGAAAATTATCTAGACGCTATATAAAGTCATAGACTGGAGAATTCTATCTCTTCACTTTATTTTTATGTTCTAAGAAGATACATTGATTTCCTATGCAATATTTATCATATGAAATAAAGAGTTTCAAATTTTATAATTTTTTTTATTTTTTTGAATAACGTTCAAGTTAAATCGAAAAAAAGAATAAATTCGAAATAAAAAGCATGCAAGAAATCGTTGAAAAGTGACTAGAAATGTATAAATGTTGTATGACTTTTGATTCTGAATTTATAATAAAACAATAAAAATGTTAGTTCAATTAAGGCGAATGCATTTTTTATTGGCGTGTTTGCCATGATGCTGAATGTTGTGTTGGCATTGTTTCTAAAAAATTAAATATAAATTTCAAATTTCAAATTATTCGAAATAAATATACCAATAGTTTTTCGTTCTGTTGTTTGTTGTACTACAACAGTATTACTCTCTTGTGGAATCCGTTCGCCTGTTCGAGATGTTTGTCGTTCACGTAAATTTTGTGGTAAAGAACTTCCTACTGGGCGAGCAGCAAAATCTGAAGTAGTTTGCATTTTTGATTCATCGACATCTGTGAATTGAGTTTCTTGAATTAGAAAAAATTTAGAATTATTCTTAAAATTAAAAACGCTCTACTTTGCATTTGTTGGTTATTTGACCATGATGGTGAGGTTTGAACTGGTAAACCTAAAATAGAAAAATAAGTTCGAATAAAATAAATTATTGTTTAAATCATATACCTTTTTGTGGTTGATTTAAACCGAATTGTGAAGATTCTTCAGTGAATGTTGTTGGTTGATCTAAATTGAATAATTAAATTTTATTCGATGTTTTTTCTCAACTTACTTTGTGTCCAGCTTTGTGGTTTAAATGTTGCTTCTTGTTTTGGTGTTTCTGTAGTGAAAAAAGAATAGATTTGTATTGTTCAAAAAGAAAATGAATCTTACGAGTCCATGAAGTTGGTTTAAAAACAAGCATTGTATCTGTTTGAGATTTAATTGGTTGACCTATAGAAATATTTTCATTTTCAATAAGCTAATTTTTACGATAGAACTTACTTTGCCATGAATGTTCTTGTTCTTGTGGAACTCGAATACCTAAATATTAAATAAAATTTATAATCGAATTAACAGACAAACTAAACAAACCTTGTGAGCGAACTGTGTTTGATCCGGAGTCAGATGTTTCAAAAGATGATTGTTGATTTTGATCTAGAAATAAAAGAAGAATTAGGTTTTTTGAGAGTATAATCGAAAGCTTACTTAAAAACATTGGTTGACTTCGAACAGTTTCTGAAGCTAATAATTTAAAAAAAATTATTATAGAATATGCAAAAAGAAAGAAATTTACTTTGCCATGATTGTGGTTGTCCAACGAAACGTTGAGTGTTTTGTTCTTTTCCTTCTTGTACTCGATCTAAGAATTAATTTTAAAATTTAAATAGTTATCATTAGTATAACTTACTGAATCGTTGTTGATTACCGAAGGTTTCAGTTTCTTGTTTGAGTGGTAATACAGTTGGTTCTATTGAAAAGAATAGAATTAAATGATTTATTTTTTAGATAATAAATATTTACTTGATAATCGACCATTATTAAAATCAGTAGTTACTTCGGAAACAGTTGTTTGTGTTCGTTGATTTGGTAAGAATTGAGTAGTATGTGTTTGTTCACTAATAGATGGAACTTCGTGAGATTCGGCTAATTCTTCTACTTGATTTAAGTTTTGACGAAGTTGATCTAAATTGATTTATAAGAATAGTTTTATGAAGAAGAAATTCAGTTTTAACTAACTGGTATTTTTGTTTTGCCATGATTGTGGTTGTGCAACGAAACGTTGGGTTTCTTGTTTGAGTGGTAATACGATTGGTTCTATTTAAAAGAATAGAGTTAAATGATTTATTTTTAAGATAATAAATATTTACTTGATAATCGGCCGTTATTAAAATCAGTAGTTACTTCGGAAACAGTTGTTTGTGTTCGTTGATTTGGTAAGAATTGAGTAGTATGTGTTTGTTCACTAATGGATGGAACTTCGTGTGATTCAGCTAATTCTTCTACTTGATTTAAGTTTTGACGAAGTTGATCTAAATTGATTTATAAGAATAGTATTATGAAAAAGAAGTTCAATTTTAACTAACTGGTATTTTTGTTTTGCCATAATTGTTGGCTATTTGATTGTAAACCTATTTAAATAAGATAAACATATATATAATTTATTTAGATATGAATATACCTGAATTGAAACGATTTTTATTTTCGAGTGATGATGCTACTTCAGGGAATTTTGATGATAATTGTTGTTGATTAAGTTGAGATTGAGTGTCTATATTAAATGAAGAAAAAGTTTGAAAAATATTTTTAAGACTAAAAAAATAGTTACTTTGCCATGTTTGTGGTTGTGCGGCAAAGTTTTGTGAATTGAAACCAACGGGTTGTGATAATTTAGTGCCCATAAGGTGATTAACTGGTCTATTTTGCCATGTATTTTCGAATTCTCGTGAATTTTGATTTTGGGAACCTAGATAATTAAATGATACTAGTACAAAGTTTCAATAAAGAATTAAACAAACCTTGTGAAACGATAACAATTGGTAAAGTTGTAGTTTCTACGGAAGGTTGTACGTTTTGTTCTATAACATTCAGTTATCATAGATTATAAAATTTATTCAAAAAAAAATTATACCTGGAAGTCGTTGTTGATTTCGAAGAGTTTCAGATCCTAATGATTGACAGAAATTTTTACAGATTATTAAAATAAAGAATTTTACCTTGCCATTGTTGTGTTGGTGCACCAAGGTTTTGTGTTGTGAAACTGCTTGATGATAATCCTTGATTGGCACTGACTTGACCAAGTGGTTTAGTTTTCCATGAATTTTCTTGTTCACGAATATTTTGATTAGAAAATCCTAAAAGACAAACAATACCTTTAGAAAAAGTATTTTAGAAAGAAATAAACAGACCTGATACACGATTTCCGTTTTGTACAACTGGTTCAAGAGCAATTGGTTGATTTTGAATAGTTTGTGAAACAAAACGTTGATTATTTTGTGTTTTCATATCTGGTAAATGATCTAATATGAAATGTTTAATAGTAATAATAATAATGATTATTATCAATATAACTTACTTAACCATTGTTTAGAACCAAAAGCTTGGTTTTGTTGTGGTTGAACGTCTAAATAGATAGAATAATATGTAATAGATTAATTAATAGAAAAAACTACTTACTTTGTGAGTGACTTTCATCTTCGAATTCTTCTTCATCAATTTCAGATTCAGCAAATACTGGTCGGACTGTAGTAGTAGTAGTAGTTGTTGTTGGTACCCATTGTTGTCTAACTATAAATAAAACATGATAATAAATAGATATATCTCCTTAGAAATTAATACGATATCTATTTAAAATATCATATGAATCTCTTTATTATAAGACGTACTTTCTTGTGGTAATTGTTGAACTCGTCCTGATTGAATAGAAATAGGTTGTCTTAAGTTCATTTCAAGTGATTGAGCTTAAAGAAACGAAAAAATAAGATATTCGATGAATTTATATGAACGAAAAATCTTACTTGGCCATTGTTTTTGTTTAGATACGAAATCTTGACGGATTTGAGTTGTATCGACTGATTGTGAAAATTGATCTACACAAATAAGAAAGAATTAAAAATGTTGAAATGCTTTTTTTTATAATTACTTGATAAATCTTGAGTGTTTAATTCTTTTTCACGTAAGTTTTGGTTAAGACCAGCTTAAAGAAATGAAAAAATAGTGAATAATATGAAATAAGATAAGTTTTTTTATTACTTTGTTGATTAGCGACGTTTGATAATAATTGTTGTCGATTAGCTACTCGTGCTGGGATGAAGCCAAGAGTTTCTTTTTCATCTTTTCCTTTTTGACCATATGAACTAAAAAAAAAAAATAGTAAAAATCTTCAGCCTAATATTTTCTTTTCTTTTCTTACTATGATTGTTCAACTTGTGCGATTGTTGTTGTTTCAACTGGTACGTCTTCAAAATCTTCTTCTACTTCTTCTTCTCGTGGAATTTCTTTAATAATAGCTGCAGCTGGTTTAGGTACTAATGTTGGTAGTTTTGGTTTTGGTGGTCGTTTACGATCACAAAATTTATCTTCTTGATTCCAAAATAATGATGCACCACATGGTTGAAAATGGATAAGTTCACCATCACATTGAATGTAAGCACGTTGACTGAATGCGAATGGATAAAATTGTTCAGTAGTTGTTAAACATGGATTAGGTACAACTATTAAAATAAAATCAATTAGTTTAAAATATGAAAGACAATAAAAATGTGTAATTAACATACTTTCTTGGCAATTAAGACCATAACCACGTAAACCATGACATACACAAACATAATCTTGTTCATAATCAGCTGTTTTTAATGAACGACAATCAGCACTTGCACCACATGGTTTTGTGACACATGAATTTAATGGTGTTTCACATCGATCACCAGTCCAATCTTTTTTACAATTACATTTAAATGTTGAATTTGATACTACTTGACAAAGACCATCATTTAAACATGGTTTTTCTTGTTCACATTTATTAATTAAAGGAGCAACATATGCACAAGTACTGGTTTGTTCATTGAATTCACCACGATTTGGACATGTGGTAATTTCATAATGATATTCATCACGACAGTGAATAAATTTAGTTTTATCTTTTGGAAAAGCGAGTTTTGTTAATGGACGAGCGCCAACACATGGTGTTTGTACTAAAAGAAAATTTTATAGAAAACAAAGAAAAAATGATAACGAATTAATACGTACATGGTTGAATATGTTCTGGTAAGTCTTGTTTTGATATTGGCATATCTCTTGCTGGTAAGTCTTGTGTTAATTCTTGCATTTCCCTAAAAATAAAAAACAAAATAACAAATAAAAAAGACTAGAAATGATATTAACATACATGTCATGTGATGGTATTAATTCTTCATTATGTCCTTCTTCAGCAAGACGAAGTTTACCAAATGGATAACCTTTTTCATAATTTATATTATCTAAGAAAATAAAAGATTAATTTAACATAAGAGAATTATTAGCTTGAATAATTACTTATATCATTTGTTTGACCATTAGCACCAAAGGCAATCAATAAAATTAAGATACAACTGAGCGAGAACTAATAATAAAAAAATAATAATATAAAATATCAATAAAAATCACATAAACTAACCATCTTTGTTATCGCGTATAAGATCGATAGATAATATCAAAACAGTCTGTGAAAGTAGTCCGATAAAGTGAACATGAAATTATAAATATCATTCTTCTTATACATACGTAGAACAGAGAACATATGTCTATATAAAGAACTACCTCGATCGTCGTTGTTCAGCATCTTTATAATGTATTACATTATCTATCATTGTCATTCAAGAAGAACAAATCAAATACGAGAAATGTTTCGAAACATCATCATCTCCATATTAGACGTCGATTACATCTTATGAAGAGAAAAGAAAATTTTGAACACAAAGAATAACGTCAAATCAGTGCGTATTTATTCTTTATATTAGAATTGTTTTCATTTCGGTCACCATCTAGATATATGTATATATGTATATGTATATACCCATATATACACGCATACATTTTCAATGACTCTTTCTTTATTGCTATTAAGTATTCAAACTTATTTGACATATGAAACTATTTCACGCAAATACAGAAATACATCATACATATTTGTACTGCTCTCAAAATGATTTAAAAGACCTTGTCCCTGTATCTCATTTGACTTTCATTTTGAATACTTATTCATTCGACCGTAACACCAACTCTTCCTTTTCTCCTTCTGTTCAGTCATATAACACGTATATAATAAATATAAAATAAGCAATATTAAAGAGAAAAAAAAAGAAAACGAAATCAAATGATTTATACGATCGAAAATGTTTATATTCAACCAGTAAATAATCATCATATATTATTTAATACCATATCACCACAACAATCTATTATTTATCTACCAACTCCTATAACATCATATACATATACCCAACCAATACAAACTCAATATATATATTCCGTAAAACCGATTAATCAACAAACAACTGAATTAAAAAAAAGTTCACATGATTTTTTACAAAAAGAAAGAATAAAATCTCCAATAAAAAGGCCTATAACACCATTAACTGCTGAAGAACAATTAGATTTAAATCTTTTACGTTATGGTTACCGACGACAATTCGTTAATGGAGATGGAAATTGTTTTTTTACTGCTATTGCTAGTCAATTAATAACATTATACAATCAAGATCGATCTTTTCGTATAGCTATAAAACAACGTTTAAATCTTCCGGAGAATATATTTAATAATACTACACAATTAGCACGTACATTACGTAAATTAGTTTGTTTAGAATGGAAAATAAATGATTCAAAATATAAACCATATATAAATGATGTTAATTATTATGATGAAATACGAAAATTTCGTTCGGATAAATTTTATTCATCAATTTTAGGTGATATATTACCATTAACAATAAGTAATTTAATGGGAATAAATATTAAAATAATAACGAATCTTACTCAATGTCCATTAATTGATATATGTCCACAAGATGAACCGAAACTATCAATGAAATCTATACCAATATTAACATTAGCATATAATCAAGAAAATGATGGACATTATGATATTGCTATAGACAAAAGAGTCAAAGATTATTGAAGATTATTATATTAATTGATTAAATTAGTTGAGATATGAATAAATAGATCATAAAATCATATTTAATTTGTAAATATATTATGCTGTTTTAGTTCTAGAATATTTAGAATTAGTCATTTATCAAGGATGGTCATACGAAAATTGTTTTTTTCTTCATTCTCTCTCTCTCTCTATTCGAGTTTGTCTAATTTCAGTTCGATTTTCATATCTTTTTCTTCTATACGTTCAATGTCAAAATAAAGAGTCACAATTTATTACTGAATTATTCCATGGAATAACAATCATAAATACACAAATATCTCCGAATTGAATGAAATTTTCAGGGTTTATAGATTATGATGAACTATGAAAATCGTATGTGTCAGTTTTTTAAAATTTATTAATACTTCGTATGACATTTTCTATGATTTTTGTTCATATTTATAAAAATGCGAGTTTATCGAAAATGATCACATAAGAATATTTTTCAAGCAAGACGAATTAAATAATACATAATCTGATAGCTCGTGATCATTGATCGAAGATTCACTTGAAATAGTTCGATCATCAGAAAATGGATCATTTTTATAACGTCGTTTTTCTTTTCAGATCGCTAAGAACTTCTTGCTGATAATTTTACTCACTGAAACAAGTTGAAAATCTATTTTCTGTTAATCAAATTATTTCAAGTGTATCTCTATCAAAATAAAAACGTTTCACAAATTTTCTTTCATCAAAATGCTCGAAATTAAAAGCTCTACGAATGGTGGAAGTTGCATCAAAATCGATGTTTTTTTTGTATGATATAATTGATTGTACGAAAATGCTCTTCTCTCAAATACTCATAAAAAGATGTGCTTTCATCTATTTCGATCAAAAAAGTGCGAGCTCGAATTCAATATCAACGAAAAACGTCACTTCCCATATATGATTCAACTTCCCAACTTCCACTATGTATATCAGTAGTATGATTAATATACCAGTACAAAATAAATAGAAGTGTCAACAGAAGAGAAAGAAATGAGACATTTTTAACGCATCCATATATTCTATAAGTCGACTACTCTTACTGGTGCGTATTGCTTCACTTTTACCTCATTATTGCACGATCTATTCATTCTCGGTAATACTATTTTATTTAATATGATCTTTATATTTTGAAACTTTATTTATCTTTTTACACTCGCTTTTATCATATAGAACCGGCAGGATCATTGGGAAGTACAAGTTAGTAATAAAATAAATAAAAAATATGACTAATATCAATAGGAAATTTTTTAATGCAATGAATCATCAATCTATATATATATATATATATATAAAATCACATTTTATTATTACCGAGAAATAATACAGTGAAGCACTTGAAAGCTCTCATAGCGTCATTTTCAACACTCAACGTCATCATAATGTAATTCGAAAAATATCTACTAGAGCTACTATTGATGAAAATGACGGTATGAAAGATATCAAAAGCTTGATTGTATTACTTTTCTGTGGAAGTAAAATGACTTCATAAAGTTTTCTCTGTCAATAGTTGATCAAACGATATTGATAGAACTATGTCAATAGGAACTATTAAGGTTAAGCGATTCTTTTCAATAAATGGTTATTTTTATATCGATGAGCTGCGCATTAATATTTGATTCGTGCTAATCAAAAGATTCTTTTATCAAAAAATTGAAGCAAACCTTTAAAAACGTCTGTAATCGGTACGATTTACATATATAACTTCTTTATTTTTTTTCTGTTATACATGCGCAAACATCTATGAAACCTTTGCTTTGATCACATGTGTGAAAAAAACAAAGCACTTATCTATATAATAATGCATATTATATAAAAAAAAATAGTCATTTAATGAATCCTCTTTATTTAGTAATGGGTGCCGAATATAGTCATCAAGGAAGAAATGGTGGTAGAAGACATTTGATATATGAAACATATGCTGGAAACCGAAAAGGTCGATCTGGTGAACGTTGTTTTAAATGCGGTGGTAATGGAAAACTTTTTGTGGAATCTGAATGCAATTCATGTCGATGTGAAGAACGAACAACTTGGTCGAATTATTCAAGAAGTTGTTCATGTAATGGTTACGGTCGTAAAACATCCAGTGAAACATGTGATGATTGTTATGGACGAGGTTATCAATAAGAAGAAAAAAAAACATTCGAACACTTATCTCTTTTTATTTTGTGTCTAACTAAAGAAGAAGAAAAAAAATCTTTACATAAAAAAACTTATTTAGTTATAGATTCAGAATCATCTTCTTGTATAACTGGTGGTTTTGCTAAAGTAGTATTAGCTGATATTGTTGTTGACTTTTTTTCTGGTTTATTAGCACCCGGCGATGCTGATGATCTTATTAATCGTTGTTTAATATGTGACAGTGGTGTTGATTCTTTATCTTTTCTTGAAGGATTTGATGATTCTTTATCCTTTCTTAAAGGATTTGGCAAGTCTTTATCTTTTCTTGAAGGATTTGGTGATTTTGATTGTCTTATAACTTGTTGTTTTGCTGATGGAAGTGGTGTTGATTCTTTTTCGTTTATTAAAATACTTGGTGATTTTGATGATCTTATTGATGGTTGTTTTGTTTGTGAAGATGGTGTTGGTTCTTTTGAATTTTTTCGACGATGATATGGACAATGGTAATGATGATGATGATGATGATTTGATTTACCTCCTTCGACTGATCGACGTCGATGATGATGATGATGACGATGATGATGATGTTGTTGTTGTTGAGAGTTTGAATTTGGTGTTGGTGATTTTGTTTGACGACGATGTGTATGTGGTGATTTATGATGATGATGTGGTTTATTTGGATCAGGAGTTTTTACTTGAATAAAATCTGCTACTCCTGGATGTTTTTCTAATTGTCGACGTGCTTCTTTTAAATGAGAATAACTATCAAGTAATTTTCCATCAACTTTAATTAAATAACTTATAACATCATAAACCATTAAATCAGCTAATGATATATGTAAACCTAAATAGAATGGACCATGATGATCAAATATTGCAAAAAATCCTTCAAGTTGCTTTAAATAAATTACTGATGAATCAATTATAAATTGTAATATTGATTGTTCATAATTAGTTGAATTATTAATTTGTTCAAAGATTTTTTCTTGAAATTGACGAGCTATTTCAACAATATCATCAACAACAACATGATCATGTTTACTTCTCCCGTATAGATTGAATTCTCGTGCTAAATAACGTATAATAGTATGTAATTGAAATATTTTAAATTGATTATGTACACGTAAAATAGGTAATTGTTGATAAGGCATTTTTTCTTTGATTTTAGATAATTCATTTGGTTTGAAATGTTTTTCTTTGTATGGTACACCGACAAATGAAAATATAAGTCGAATAATAGTACTATAACGATTTTTTTCTATATCATATAATTTAAATAATGAGATATTTTCATTATTTTTTTGATTTGGTGGAGCATGTGGATATTGCGGTTTCTGTTGTTTTTCGGGCTTTTGTTGTTGTTGTAGTGGTGAGGTTGCCTGTTGTTGCGGAAATTGTACGTTATAATAATATGGAACCGGAGGAGAACCAGTACCATAATTAGGCATTCCAGAATAAGCTGGTGTTCCATATGGAGGTGTGTAGTAATTTGCAGGATTGCTCATCATCATACTTGTACACACGAATATATATGTATGTAAAGAGTAAGTTTAAAAGGTCGTAAACTTATACTGATGATGTAAGAGTTTGCAAACGAAATGAATGCATCAAAGCTTCAATCAATGAATCAACGAACCGGCCCTTTTTTTTATATGTCACATTTCAAAGGTACAACATTAATAGATAGGTGATGAGGATAGATGACACCTACATATACATATACAAAATCTAAGATGGTATCCAAATGATCGCAATGAGAAAGTGAAAAAAAGGTATATCAATAATAATAATACATATCTTCAATATTGATCTATCTGCATTTAGAAATCTGCCATCAACTATGACTTTCATAGATGTTATAATTAGTGAAAAATGTTTCTATTTTATGTTATCATATTTCATTGAAATGCAACTGTGAAATTCAAATTTAATTTAAATGTTACTATACAAAAACGATCCTTTTATTTCAATTCTCAATTATATCAAGGTTACAAACAAAAGGTAAAAAAAAACGAATTTAAATAATGTACTATAAATCATATTCTATTCAATGTATTCGTGAAAGTTCTTCAATCAATTTGACTAATTCTTCAACAGTTGTATTCAATTGAATATTATTTCCTTTCTATAGAGAAAATAAATAGAAATATTGAATAAAATAGAATAAAAATTTACATGTGAATTTGTAATAAGTTCAAGTTGAACGGTTTTGGGTAGATCAAGATATGTTTCAATAAGATCACCATCAATAAAACCATATGAAACATTTGAACGTCCATCTGATCGAAATGAACGCCATGAACTATGATCAATTTTACCAATACTTGTCACATATTCAGCTAAAATTAATTGTAATGACATCAATAATTGATATAATGTCGGTGGTAATTGTAGAACAAGACCGATATAACCAGATATAGCACCCATTAATATACAATTTTCAAGTGAAATTGTTGATTCAGTTGTTTGTTGTGTAACAAGACAACCTAAATAGATAACTCATATTACAAGAAACAAGACGTGTGTGTTTATACCATGTCGAAATGTATTAATTTCTTCTCCTAAATGATATAAACCAAGTTCATTTAGTATAGTTCTTTCCTGTTCTTTCGTTGAATCACTATTTTTATTATATGAAATTAAATTTCCATCACTTTCGGAACAGATAAATGTATCATCATCAATAAACTCACATGCAGTTGTTAATTGTGGATAAATACTACGAGCAATCTATAAAATTACATTTTAGAAATAGTTTTAGTGATAAATCTATACTTCTTCAAATTTATTTTCATTGATATTATAACGAAGAATTGTTAATGATCCTAATAGATCACTGAATAAAATAAAATCATCTTTAATTTTTAATTCTAAACATTTCATACGACCCGTGTAGGATTCTGGTTGCTGTATTAATTCCTGTTTTTCTACTGAAAAGTTATATAATCTTACTGAATTACCAATAGCAACAAGTAATTTGCCTTGAAATGGTAATATTTTATATGGTGAACTATTTATTTCTTTTTCAGTAATCATATTTAATTGATTATTTTTATAACGAAATAAAATTAAACGACCTAATCTTTGTTCGTCATCATCATTCTCAAATCCAATTGTTGTACCGACTACAATATATGGTGTTGCTGGATCATCAGTAAACGTTATTATACATAAACTTGTTGCTTCTTCATTGTTTAATAGTTTAACTGATATACGAGCTAAAAATAGATGGATTAAATGAAGACATGTGTAAAAAGTGTTAGATTTAGTTACAAATTTTTAATTATAATATTTTGTTGACTCTTTCTGTTGTGGTCTATATCTTCCTTATAGATACAATCATAAGACGTATTCTTCTTACTCCTAATGTTGAGCATTTTCTAATGAAAAAAAACAACACATAGATTTATCTGATTAGTTATGATTATGCTATAGTTTTATGAAAATCTTCTATGATCTTAACTCTTTGATGTACCGTTCGAGAAACTGGAATGTGATTCATAGTAACAATCAGCTACTATGAAAAATAAAAGGAATAATAATCTGAAGAAGCATACTATACAAAATAGAAATCTTCTATTCTGTCTATCATAGACTCAAAACAAAAATACTGGAGGCAGAGAAAATGACACATTATGATTAATTTGATTATTCTAAGATATTACGAATTTTGCCTGAGAAATATGTGGGATATGCTAGTCATCGATACGAATAAATAAAAAATCCATCAATCATTATTTTTTATTCTTCAAATAAATAAATCTCTAATATTTAAATACCTTCACGTGTATGTTGATCAAGAATAACAATTGAATTCGAAGCATTACTAGATTGTTGATTTGTTAAATCTTCAATTGCTTTTATCTTTGTTGTACAATCTATTTTTTGATGTGCTTGTTTGCTAATAGATACAATGCTATCTGACTTATATACATCCATATATTGTGTTAGAATAATATAAATTTTTTCTTCATCCATAAAAACAATACGTTGTACTGATTCACCTAATACTAATGAACGTACATGTAACTTTTGTATATCATCAATTCGACCGAGTATAACACCCATATCTGTAACTAATGTTAAACTTGATCCATAATATTCCGAATTAAATGAACATATACAAACAATTTCATGTAAATTAACCGATGAAAAAACAATTTTATTATTTGATAATGATATTACTGATGGATGATCACTACAAGCAAATAGAACAGTACGTGATGATACAGTTGAACTATTGGATAAATCTGTATGTTGACAAATAGTTAATGTTGTAGGTTTTGTACCTAATGAAACTTTCTTTCGTTCATATAATAAACCTTGTTCAGAATTAAGTAAATAATAAATAATTGGACCATCAGCTAACGAAACAAAAACATATGGTTGATCATCAAATGTTATCATAACAGCAGATCGTGGTAATGTATCTAAAGATAAAATATTATATCATATTTATATGAACAAAATTTAATTTACCTGATGTTAATAATTCTTTATGTAAAATATCAAGTGTTGGTAATCGACATATCCAAATAGATATTTGCGTCCAAAGACCAATAACACACAGATTCGTTCGTTCTTCTCGAATATCTAATGGTGTTATATCCAAACAAGCAATATTATGTGGTAATTCACATTTACTAAAAAATAAAACAAAATTTTTTATTTATTATTGTATTATTTAATTTACTTGATCTCTGTTAAATTTCCCGAACCAATTTCAAAATAAAATAATTGATTACCACTAGCACATACACATTGTGTTGTATTTGCTGAAGCAACTGTTATTTCATCGTTCATATTTTTCCATTCAACCAATAAATCCTGACCAGAATCACCAATTAAACGAATGGAATAGGTTGTTATCTAAATTAATAAAGATTTTATTTTTAAAAGATAAGAAAAAAACGAGTATTTTTACTTGTAAATATTGATTAGATGTAACATTAGTACAAAATAATGTTTGATGTTGATAATCAAATGCAGATAATTCAACTTCTTCGATTTCATCATTTTGTAAATGAAATAATCTATGAATAAAAATTTCGAAAAACAAAAAATAAATGAAGTGATATTTACCTTGTTTGATCAAAGAATGCAACAACAAGATGATTATCATATTGATTATTGATTTTCAATGCCCAAATTCCTGAGAAAAACAAAAATAAAGAAAGTTTGTTTAAGAAAATAAAATAAACCTTTGATATTTCGTAAATCAATTGATGCATGTTCATGAATTCCAATTCCTGTTCGAATAAAACGCAATGATGAGTCCTTTCTATTTCCTGAACATGTTACTAACTATACAAAAGAGATATTTATATATAAAATAAGTAGTATGATTATTTTCATCTAACTTGTTGACTTTGTCGTTCGACATCAATGAAACACATATCGAGAATGGGTCCAAGATTTGCATAGGATTCAAGTATTTCGAAATGACTACCATTTTGTTGTTCAGAAAAAATCTATATGATCAAATCAATGAAGAGTTTCGATAGAATAAAAAAATTTTCTTATACCCGAATAAGTTGACTGTCACCAAAATTTGAACCAATAAAAGCAAGATTATTATTTAAATATATAATATATCGACTAGTTGAAATCTCGCCAAGTAAATCTAGCTAGAAAATTAAAACTTTCTTAAAAAAGCGATATATTTATTTCTTTTTTCTTTATTACTTTTATGTTAGTAACTGTTATTGATAAATTTTCATTATGTTTATCATGTTCAAGAATTAATAAATAAAGTTTTCCACAATCATCACTTAATAAATATCGATAACCTTCATCAATTGTACAATAACATATGATAGATGTTGTCTTCTGAAAATTATAACATGAGATCATTAAAGTGGTGTGAGAAGTTTTTTAATGTATGTTTTAATTCTTTGAAGTTCGTCGCTCAACTAAGGAGCGAAGCATTGTTGAGATTTCCTATATGAATATTTTCATGAGAGATTTTAGAAAATCTACAAGGTTATTTTCAACGTATATTCGTACTCGTTCACGGACTTCGCAAGATGGTACTTTACCATTTTTGTTAGTCAGTACAGATATGAGACAGAATTAACGGTTGGTTTGTTACAAAAATCAACTCATTCGTTACTGCATCTTATTATTCGGAATATAATGTAACTGTTCAAAAAAATGAATGTGTAATTAAGTAATAAAAGATTTTTAGCATGGAGTTTTACCCATTATGTGTAAAATAATACATTGATATCGTTTATTTTTCCTTTTTAGAATCAAAGTGATACTCTAAAAGCTAACTATTTATCTGACTTTATCTATACTATAACTCTTGCACAGATGTGTGTATCACTTCTCTTGTTGTATTTTGACTTATGTGTCATAAAAGATTAAAATACAATATGTAAAATATAACTATTTATGTATCATTACCTGAAGTAAAGATGATTTAATTTCTAATCTTTTATTATTTTCTTTACATATTTCAATAGAATTTCTACCGATAACAAGTGCACTGAAATCATTTTGTCCAACTAAAAATATAAATGAATAAATAATAAAAACTTTTTTAAATAAAAACCTACTTGGAATAAGAAAAGATGCTTTAGATAATGTTAGTTTTTCTGTCCAAGTTAATCTTCTTATATCACGTTCTTTTACTTCAATTTCATAAGTACATAGATAATATTCTTCTGGTTCATTACTATTAATATAATATGATTCTGGTTTACGCTAATAAATAGAAAGAAAGTCGTTTTTTTAAATAAGAGAACAAATAAGATTTTACTGAATATAAAATGATAAATGTTGGTTTTTGATGATCAGATAAAAATTGAATATCAATTATATATTGTTCATTAATTCTACATTAATTTATTTTATAGAAATTAACTAAGAAGATTAGAACATACTTGATATTATAAGCTTCAAGATTTCTTGATGTCAAGTCTTTTAAATAGATAAGTTTGATAATTCCTTCTGATATACGTAATAATATAAGATTATGTTTAGTATCTATTGTACAAGATGGAGGTTGAATTGAAGCTCTATTATTATCCTAGAATAAAATTTATTACGATAATTTTAGATCAAAATAGGTTAATAGTTGAATTCTTACTTTCAATGAACCATGACATTTTGTTAATATTTCATATGGATCATTCTCTGTTTTTTGACAATCTAATATCATTCCATGAGATTTATCAGTCAAAATAAATAAAACATCTTTGTTCATATTCTAATTCAATCGAAATAAAGCAAATTAAATTAATTTAGAAAAGATTATTGAGAAATATTATTACAGATAAACGAAAACATTTGAGTATTTTAATTCTTCCATATATAGAAACATCTTTGATTAATTTAACACCTTCACAAGTAATAATATATATTTCAAAATGTGTATTTTTCGCAACAATTAAATTGAATTCAGTTGCTGAAGTAAAATAACCCGTTGCAACTGCTGTTACTTCAGTAGGTTGTTGAACTGTCACAACATAATTCATTGCAGATAATCTCCAAAACTAAGAATATACTATTTAGATTTTTTCTTCATTTATAAAAAAAAGGACTTCTACACATCTGGAAAAAAAGACGGTATTTTTTTATGATTGGTAAATATCTGAATACCAATCAAGAGTATAGATTAGATGCCACTGTTGTTATTTATGTTGCTAAGAAACATTTCAAGAGTAATCATTTGTAATGGTATGTAACATATTTTAGTTTGTGTTTAAATCAAAATCTAGAAATATAATGGCATCAACTACAATTCCAACACATTATCCACAACTTGTCGATCCAACACGAACACCACTTGCATTTCTTAATCGAGCTGTTCCTCGTTTAGTAAGACAAATTAATTATAAAATAGAATTGTTTTTCCGATTTACTAAAAAAACTGAACAATCAAGATATTTTGATATATGGCAATAAGTTATTCAACAAAATTTTCCGAAAAAAAATGGATGCTATAGATATTCTAACCAGTTCTGTTTATTGTAATGAAACTCTTAAGTTTCTAAACCAAAATTTTATTTACTTAGGAAATATTTTTTTAAGTGTAACATTCTATGAATAGAAACATTTTATTTAAGTTTTGTATTATTTTTAGAATCGAGAACTTAAAAGTGAAGATCTTTTATTACGTCAACGTGCAGTACGATCATTATGTGATTATCTTCATGATCCTGAACATATATTACCATGTCTTGATGAAGGTTATATTTCTCCTCGAAAATAATTCTTAAAATATTTTTTTTTCTAGATATCCCAGCTACGTTATTAGCATTACTTAAAGATAATGATCAATTCTGTCGTTTAAAATCCGCTGAATGTTATTATGTTATTGCAAGTAAATAATTTTAAGAATAAAACTTCTTTCTGTTTTTCTAAATATGAAAATTATAGGTCATGCTATTGGCCGTCAAGCTATGCTTGCTTGTAATGTAATTCCACGTTTAGCTGAATTATTTAATGATAAAGAAGCATCAGTTAGACGAAATGCTCATAAAGCTGTATCAATGTATAGTGAAGCGCCACCCGGTATATTACATAATATCGTAAAAAAAACTGATAATAAATCTATTTTAGGTGCACAAAATTTAATTGAACTTCGTCTTGTTGAAACACTCCTTAAGAAATTAGTTAGTGAACTTGATGAAATTAAAGTAGATTGATTTAGAATTTCCAAAAAACAAAACATTGTTCTTCTATTCAATAAATAGGAATTAATTTTGAATACTATTCATTTTTGTCTAATGGTTGATGTTGAACAAGCACTTGCAGCTGATGCCATGTCAACATTGACATCATTACTTGGACATCCATCTGATAAAATCAAAACGCTTGTAGCTTTAACAATATTTCATTTAAGGTTAAAGCGAAAGAAATTTTTTTTATTCTTTATTATATTTTTATTGAATTTTAGTGTTTCACTTAAAGGTAAAGAACGTGCTGTTGAAATTGGTACAGTCGATCGATTAGTTAGTTTACTTGATTCAGATGATAATTCACTTAAAAGTAAAACAGCACTCGCTCTTTCAGTGTATGTTAATTGAATTTTGTTATTAAATATAAAATATTTCTATTATTTTATTTTAGTATTTGTATTATTACACCTGGAAAATATTGTACAATTAAAGCTGGTGCGATACCAAAACTTGTAGCTCTACTTAACAATGATTCAACTGAATTGATTGTTAATGCACTTAAAGTATATTTATTAATTTTTGTTTGATATGATTGAAATTTTTTATTTTTCAGGCTATTACATGTATAGCTGAAGCACCAGAAGGAAGAAAACAATTACTTGAATCTGTTGATCAAGTATAGAAAATGAATAATTATATATATTAAAATTTAATTAATTGTTTTTTAATTATTTTAGATTGATCAATATGTTGATCATCGATTACCAAATATAGCAAAACATGCCCAAATTGCAGCCAAAGTTATTAAATGGAAACCATAAGGAAATAAAACAATTTTTTCATTTTATTCATTTGATTATTTTTTTTTCCTTTTTTAAATATATAATAAATATGAAAAAATTGAATGAAATGTATAACAAATTTTTATAATAATTTTCAAATTAGTTATTTTCATCATGTCTATTTATATCAATGAGTGAGTATGATTCACTTTAAGTATCATATGCGTATCATTAATAACAACTTGACGTCGTCGAATGATTAGTTTTAAACGTCACTTATTATTTGTATACATGTGAATAAGAGATTGTATATAACGATCTTATTCTTGATATCGGCTAGAGTGTAAATTCAAAAGACGACTACAAATCTTTGACCCGGGAATGAGAGATTTGTAAAGAAAAATTTTCTCTATCGAATTCTGTTGAGTACCGTAAAAATCGATTTTTGGCTTGAATTCAAGCCAGTTAGAGGCATACATCCAACTTTCTTTTGTGTTCGTGAACCTCAATAAAACATTGATTTGAACCCTCAGAATACATCAGAGAACAAAACCTTCACCTCAAAAAAAAATTAATGGAAAAAATGAATTATAGGCAAGAGATTTAGTTGATTCCGATACAAGTCTTTTATTGGCTTGAATTCAAGCCAAAAATCGATTTTTACGGTACTCAACAGAATACGATAGAGAAAAATTTTCTATACAAACCAACATATGTCTCACTCCTGGGTAAAATTTTACTATGAAATTTATAGTCGTCTTTCGATACAATAGTTACATTTCATAATCGATTAGTCTGACTCCATCTTTTTCTATTCATCAAATCTTGATTTACTCTCTAATTTTCAACATGATTTCATTATTTAGAAATATCCCTAAAAATATAAATGAACTGTCTTATATCATTCACTTATTTCTACTATATAAAAAAAGCTAATTAAATCTTCATATTCATAACTTGTCATTATCTTACAAACTTCTCCAAAACACTTCAGACTAAAATACTTAATTTGTTATCATCATCTAATTTCTTCACACTTTTTTCAATAATTCCTCGAACATGAATGATTGGTTCCAATACATATTCGATTCGTGATTATCAAAAGACACCTTAAAGGCACTATGACAAATGAATCGAATAAGAAAACAATTTTTTTTGTTTGGTCTTATTCTCTATGTGTATTTATATCGAACTTCATCTAGCGGCTGTATATATTTGTTTGATGAAGTGCTTCTTTTTTTTTCTTCTTTTACTTATTCCAACTAGTAATGATCCGTTCTCATCCTATACACTTTCTATGGTATCATATTAAATAAAATATAAAATAAAATAAAATAAAAATCACACAAATGACTTACGAGACACGTTCTTCGATTGAAAATAAATTTTAAGATGGCACGTGAACTTTCTTTTGATCTCTTATTTTCACAGAGAATATAAAAAAAAGAAAGAAAGGTAATCAGTCATCAATTTTAATCGCTGCTCTTGACCACTAACAAACAAAAATTTTCGATTTATTCTCATCTTATCACAAAAGCGTCATTTAGTGCAATGTCTATACACTTGACTATACATTTATCGTTGAATATTTTAGTGGCAAAAAACAATTAAAAATATAAATATGGATTTTAACAGTTGATATCATTTGTGTAATAATACGTGTTTTCTCTATTTTCTTTTTTCGTTATCCTCGAGTTTAATCAACCGTCAACGACGTAAAAAAACGATGAAATTATTATTGCTAGAAATGATCGTTATCTTTATGAGTAATGATAGAAAAACTAGAATAGACTATTTACATGGTAATGATATAAGAAGAACAGAAGAAGAAAAAAACGAACGAACGAACGTATATTGAATCAAGTTGCTTTTTTTTATTAACGGAAAAACGGTGAAGGAGACAAAATCAGTATTTGCTCACACTTTTTGAGGATCCTATGTATACAGTAATTGATTGCCTTTTCTCCTTTTCTTACTTTCACCTGTATGTAACATCGTCTACCATTCATTATTTCTTTTTTTTTTCTCTTTCTCCTAAGGCTTTTTTT